GTGATTGAAGTTTTTTTTGGTTTGCTACTGGTTTGTCATGTTCATGTTGGATTTGGGAAATTTTTTGCAAAAAATGATTTGCAAAAAAATCGATAATAGGTTCAACGAAGAGCCTAAAATTAGCCTTAAATTATGGTGTACTCAATATTTTTATATTCCTTCTATTTGAGATTTGGTTCTGCTAGCTTAACGGTTAAGCTAGCAAAACCCATGATTTTTTTAAAAAAACAATGTGCGAAAAAATTGGCAATAGGCTAGGATTGGAGCCTAAAATTAGCCTTAAATTATGGCATAATTAGTTTTGTGATTGAACTTTTATTTACGAAGTGGTTCTGCTAGCTTAACGTTAAGCTAGCAGAACCCACGTTTTCTTACATAAATCGAAGAGCAATAAATTCGGCAATAGGGTAATAAATTAGCCTTAAATTAGCCTAAAATTATGGCCGAAGAAAAAATTGAAAAATTCGAAGTGGTTCTGCTAGCTTAATGGAGGTTTCTTCGTGAACAAAAGTGAAACACTTGTCTTAAACACAATTCTTGAATAACTGGACAAATTAAAGAGTTCCGAACGATATCTCAAGAAGACTTCAATGAGCTGTTAAAATAATTATCATTCAAATCGGCAAGAGAATTTTGTTCATAACATTGAGATAAAAACCAGATTTTTTTTCAATGTGTACCGGAACTTTTTTGCAAAATCTGTAAATGGTATACCTACTATTTTTTTACTTAAATAGGAAGAAACCTGTATAGGCTTCTGTCACTTGAATTCAGAAACACCCAGTAGTGTTGATGATACTTATCCGAGTACTTATCAGCAATCCCTACATGTTTTTTCATTGCCCAAGTTTCGTCCTTGGGTTTGAATTCAACCTACCTATCGATTGACTTTTTTTGCATTTCACGAATGGAACTCATTCGTAATCTACCTTTTTTTACGCAAAATTTTGAAAACTCCTTGGGATGTATGATAAATCTTCAGGAAATTCCTTAATTCCTTGGGAAGTCCGGGTAGTCTCTGGGAATTCCTCAGGTAGTCCCAGGAATTCCAGGTAGTCTTTGGGAATTCCTAGGAATTCCTTGGGAAGTCCCAGGAATTCCGGGTAGTCTTTAGGTAGTCCCAGGAATTCCAGGTAGTCTTTGGGAATTCCTAGGAATTCCTTTGGAAGTCCCAGGAATTCCGGGTAGTCTTTAGGTAGTCCCAGGAATTCCGGGTAGTCTTTGGGAATTCCTAGGAATTCCTTGGGTTATCCCAGGAATTCCGGGAATTCTTTCAATAAAGGAAGTCTAGTGTACCCAATTTCAGCCCGTGATTTACCCCTCGTATGTAACCATGGGTAGCGAAGCGAAGTCTGTCAATTTGGCAAAAAATAATGACTGTACTTGTCAGAATGAATCATTCATTCAAAATAAATGCTTCTTTGCTTCGTGAACGTGAAATAGTCTCCACTCTGTTCTGATCATTTCCTTGTCAAATCTATTGTGTTGCCATACAGCCCTACCTTTCGTCCTGACTCGTGGTGTTGCTCAGCAACACAATTTCGTAAACAATGAGGCGACAGAATTATCTCGAATATTAAGAATATCGTGATATTACTTATGATAACGCTCACTTTGAGCAAAGAACTTCCGAAAGTATATTTTTCTCCTGAAGTTGAGAAGGCTCTGAAAATCCTTGTTGCCTTTACCTTGTAAGATTTGTACAGTTGAAAGGTCATTTAGTAGCCTTAGGAGAATCAACACCTGGTTGAGGAGCACCATGTATGATGCTCGACTCAATGGCCTCGCAATGATGAGTATACACAGGCAACATATTTTCAAAAACTTGAACGATTTCGTCAAAAAGTGACCAACGAATTCCCAAAGAACCCTAGAAGATTATTTTTCAATTGATTTACTGTATAGATTTTTTTCTGTTTCTTGATTTTTTCATTAAACTCTTTATATTTGATTTTTCTCTTCAGTTTTTTTATGGTGCCCCCCCCCTATTTTTTCCGCTGGTGACGCCCTTGAAATGACACCTGTGTTGCAGGCATCTTTACCATTCTTCTGAAGTAGTCAAATATCTGACAGTCAAATTCAGTGATTTGATTTTAAAAAATTGTTTTCTCGGAAGTATAGCACAACAAAAGCAATCAACAGTGTAGTAGATATATTTCCTGGAAAAAAGTACTCACTTTTTTCTCATGGGAAAAAAGTAATTTATGACAGTTCAAACATTTTTCCCGTCACAGAAAAAATATATTTAGTTAGCTTATGTGCTAATCTCCAGCTATTTTTCACTCATTCAGAATTGAATCAAAGTTGTCAAGAACATTTAGATTTCTGTGGACACAACCAGAAATGCCATGGAAACAAACCAGGACATTTTTTGACATCTCTGTCGATTTTTCAATCAAAATGGGTTATTCCCGAGGTTATTCCATAGAAGAAAAATACGAAAAAGTAAGATTGTATTATGAAAATATTGCAAAAATGTCAGTAGTGCAACACAAATTTAGTGGATAACAGCTCAAGGGAACATTAGCAAACCATATAATAATATATTTGTGAAAAGAAGAAACAGATATTCCCCGATATTTCACTTGAGCTAAAAATATCTAAGAAAAACTGATTTGCACTTGCTTTTTTATTTTGCTATTTGCATTTTTTTTTATTCAAGGAGTGCCAAAAGATAGTACAGATCAAACTGGATCAAACCCTACAACTTTCATATTTGAAGTTTTTTCCACCTCACATAGTTGAAGTCTGGGTAGAAGCTGTAGGTAAAGTGTCAAAATACAAGGAGACACCCTACCCTGTACACTAACATTTGTTTCATGGATGTTTCAATTCAGGCACATATTTGTGTGAAGCTGAGTGAAGCATTGGGGCCCAGCCTGGAGCCCCCCAGAAAAAAGTCCTAGTTACGCCAATGTCTACCATTGGAATATGGAAATGTACTGTGGAAATGTATAGGCTGCCAGTCGGCAAACTCAGTGTTGTTCTTGTCATTACTTTTGTAATAGATCTATTACTATTCCACGGAGATTGTTAGGATATTACGATTTGTCATGAATCTATTACTATTTGCTGTTAGCACCAAAATATGATGTTTTGTTACTAAAAAATCTATTTCTGTGTTCAGCGAATAATCATGTTCTGCTCGGTTCTGCTCTATGGGTCTGTTATGTCATAAGTTCTGTGTGACTTCTGCCTCATTCCTGTCAAAACTGTCTAATTTGTGCAACATGGTTTGACAAGAATGTGAAGAATGATATTCAGAATGTCAAATGTAATATTTTTCGGATCTATTACCTTTTGATACAAATCTGTTACCATTTTCCAAGAAAATCTATTACGAAAAAATCAGACCCAGGAACAACACTGGGCAAACTACTATACTTTTTCTCTAGACTGCCGACCAGTCAGTGGAATACATTCTTTCTGTATAAAATCCGTCAGCAACCCAAAAAAATAGTATGCTGACTGGTCGGCAGTCTATACTTTTCTTTTGGGATGCTGACCAGTCAGCAGACTATACTTTTTATCTAGACTGCCCACCATTCAGTGCATGGAATACATTTTTTTAGTATAAAAAAAAGATCCAAGGCAGTTAGTAGCTCAGTGGTTAGACACTATTGGCTTGTCAATCCTCCACTGTCCAGTGTTCAAATCCCACATTGAATATTTTTCAAACAATTTTTTTTCAGGAGATTTTTGTTTCACTAATCAGTTAGTCTGTTTGGGTTGAGTATATGTCACTTTCTTTTTATGTTTTATATTTTTCTAATCTAGTTTTCCTTCCTCCATTGTTAGTTTGCAAGATTTTTTTGATCAGGTTTTTGTTCCACCAATATGTTAGTGTGTTTGTGTAAGTACCTACATCTCTTTTTTCCAGAAGTTTTTTTTTTCAAGTGAGTTAATATTTTGATTTGAAAATAATGCGGTAATTTTGCACTTATCATGCGATGGTTTTTTTTTTCGAAAATTTCTTTTGGTACTTACGTATTTTTGTCTGAAAAACACGAATTTGATAATGAAAATGTGAACAAACCATTATTTATTGAGATATTTCACTATAAAGTTACAAATTTCACCTTCTCTTCCGCCTGTCTTTGGGGCGCATTTAGAACAATTTGCCCTTCTTTTTCCATCATTGGACAATTTATATATATCACACAATGTTGGACACATATTTTTTATTATATGAGTCAACTAGAAATATGATTCTCTTGTGATTTATCCATGTTTAGTGAAAAGAAGGAAGAATATCATTTGAAATAATGGCGTGTGTGATGTCATTCCAAAGCAGTCTATTGACATTTGACATCTCCTATTTGGATTACCCATCGATTAAATGGCGGTCATCTGGTATGCTTGCTCACTAAATAGGAAAAACTCACCATAAAAATCATATTTCCTATTGAATTTTCTAGCTTGAAATGTGTCATTGAAGTGCATCATGAGTATATATGAAGTGTCCAATGACAAAATTAAAAGAGCAAGTACCTGTAAATGCATCCAACACAAGGGGGAAAATACGGGAAAATAAGGCCAAATTTCGAACTTTTTCTTGAAATATCTGGATAAATAGTGGTTTGTTCACATTTTCAATATCAAATTCGTGTTTTTCAGACAAAAATACGTAAGTAAGTACCTACCAAAAAAAATTTTCGAAAAAAAACCCATTGCATGATAAGTGCAAAATTACCAATAATGCTGGTATAAATTAGTTATGAAAATCATGTTTTCTCTTCCTTAAAATTGATAAAACAAAGAGTATAGTCCGAGGTATTGTCTGCTGAATGGTCTGCAGCCAAAAAATAGTATAGATTGCTGGTGGGCAGTCTATACAATTTTTTGGAATATTTCCCATTATCTGTGAACACCCTGTAGATACCTATCTTACCATAATTTCAATAATACTCCTAATCTTTTGCTAGTTATTATCAAAATTACAGCTTAGCTCTTGGCTTAGCTGGTAAGCCCCCAATTATCATCAAGGAATCTCTGATTAATCACCTGTGACTTGTGACTAAACCATGAGGATGCCTCATTCTCCTTGACTTCTTATTGGTCATAGGTGTACCATTCATAGTCATCTACCCACCCAATAAAAAAAAGTTTTCACCTATAATTTTCAATTTTCTTACCTCTTGGAAGAAGGCCTCCATAAAGCCATCTCTGCCTTCCACATTAACGGCAACATCATCAGGACCAACATCATCATCATCACTTTGGGCCTGCAAAAAAATTAGGAAATTCACCAAAACAGTAAAAAAATACGAGGAAATTAATCAGTCCAGGGGTGGGGCAAGATGTCATAAAGATAGGCTCTTTTTTAACCTAACCTAATTTTATAATTCAACAATTATTGATGTCACGGTGACTCAAATTACACGAAAAACGATTGTATCATTCTCAACAATGCAAATAAAGGAAGTGTCACTTACTCAAATAGAAAATATACCTATTTGAGTGTTTCATATTATGCCTATTTTCATTGGAAATTTCTTATTGGACTTGAAATGATAAGTAGGCAATGACAACTTGACAAGACCTACCGCAACAAGGGCTGCTAATCTATCCTTTGTCATTTTGACCAGCCTTTACTGACACACACCACTCAAACTTCAGTTTTGTAAAATAATCCCATTCAAATTGTATTTACACCAGCACAACTAGACCGAACTACCGATAAAACTTGAAGCGAGCGACCACCTACCAGCCTTCCACTCGGAAATCGATAGAGTTCTGCAGTGCCGTCATTTTAAAACGCATGCGTGAGTGACGTACTATTTCACGTGACGTCACATGCCAATTTCATATTTTATAAATTTATTTCTCAAAATTCTACACTGAAATTTGGAAGTGACAGCCAAAATAATTTTTCAAAAAATATTTAGGATGAGTCTAACTTCAAATCTAAAATAAACTCTATTCCAAGAGAATATTCCATTGCGCATCTCGAACACATTCTGTTGGCATCTGGCGAATAGTGGTGAACGCCATTGTGAACTCTAACGACTTGGAAAGTGAGCAACAGTAATCATTCATTTTTTGTGCCATCGGTTTTTGCAAATAGTTTTTATCACTAAGGTAAGTTTTATTTTTCATGTAGAATATAATTTGCGCCTTATTTTTCGGATTTGTTGAATAATAACATTGTAATATATTGACGAAGTCGGTATCACGATATCAAAATCCTGTGTAATGATCTTGTAGCGCCATTTCTTCTCAAATTGAAAAGATCCAAAGCATGTTGATATTTATATTTATGTTATCAACAGATTGAAGATTCATTTATACTCTCTGAATTGTTTTCACGAAAGTTATGAATATGTTACGTCAGTCCTAAAATTGTCCAAATTTTTATCCTGAAAATTCAATGCTTTGTACCTATTTCAGGTAACCTTTGAAGTATAAAAACCATGGCTGCAGAACAAGAAATGCCCACATTCAAATGTGTTTTGGTCGGAGATGGAGGTACTGGCAAGACCACATTTGTTAAACGTCACATGACTGGTGAATTCGAAAAGAGATATGTTGCCACTTTGGGTGTAGAAGTTCACCCCTTGGTGTTTCACACCAACAGAGGTGCCATACGATTCAATGTTTGGGATACTGCTGGTCAAGAAAAGTTCGGAGGCCTACGTGATGGTTATTACATCCAGGGACAGTGTGCTATCATCATGTTTGATGTGACATCAAGAGTTACATACAAGAATGTTCCCAACTGGCATAGGGATCTGGTTAGAGTATGTGAAAATATTCCAATAGTACTTTGCGGGAACAAAGTGGATATCAAGGATAGGAAAGTTAAGGCCAAAAGCATTGTTTTCCATAGAAAGAAGAATTTGCAGGTATGTTTAGGTTATGATTGTTATGATGGTGGTGGTTTCCCGCCACTTTGTGTCAAGTGTAAAAAATGTGTTTAAGCTTGTTCTTTTGTGCTTGCTCTACCTGTTGAACTTGATATTTTTCTCTAGGCATGTTTGTTTGTATTGTTAAACTGGCTAAAGTTGATCTTTTTCCCATAGTTGTATCTGTTTATGCTGTGATGTAAACAAAGAAAGACATAGAAAAAAAATGTCATGGACAGAGGCAATCATTATGGGAAAAAATCAACTTCAGCAATACAAATGAACAGGCTCTTTATTTGATTGGTTGCATCATTTTCCCGCCAATTTTATAGTTGAAGTATTTTTATTTGAAGTGAGAGGGTCACTTGATGAAATACTTGAAGACATGATTTAAAATTTAAGATTTAAGAAGATGACCAACTTCTAACTTAAGAAGTGCTGATAAATGATCATAAATGTAATAAGGAGTGCGCATCCAAAAGTGACATCTCAATTTCCTGACATTCAATTCAAAATAACTTGTGTTGTTACTCCTGAATATTTTTTTTTTCTTCTGATTTATACTGAACCGTTCTTCAAAAATACACTAGAATGTTGCCTCCATATTTGGCAAAAGATCCAAGGAGTGAGCCAGTTTCTGGTAGGCAAGGAATAGTGATTACTTTCAAAATGATGTGGAGATATAATGGAAGTAGATATCATTTCAGGGATATAAATATAAATTAATAAATTATTTCAGAACATGAGATTTTGATTTCCAACCAGTTTCTAACTTTCTAAACTTTAAAAATCTGGTTCTGTATCAGAAACTAGATGTCAGTAATGATAGAAGACATGTATTGCCCTAGAATCTTACTTTTTTTTATAGCTGTCTCCACTTGAGACTCTAAAGTCTTAAATGTTTAAATGTTAAATCTTGAATGATAAAAGTGTTTATAAAATCGCCCTGGAATATTGCACAAAGTTAATAATTTTTGCATTGGCTAGTGCATTCTAGAGTTCCTTATTGTACTTGACACTGCTGTTTTGAGGTTTTTCTAAAACAATAGTGTCAAGTACATGGAGGAACTCTAGTGCATCCATAACATAGATTGTACTACATGGATTGGTAATTTTGCACTTATCATGTGATGTTTTTTTTTTCTGAAATTTTTTTTTTGGTACTTATGTATTTTTGTATGAAAAACACGAATTTGATAATGAAAATGTGAACAAACCACTATTTTTCAAGATATTTCAAAAAAAAGTTCGAAATTTTGCCTTCTTTTCCCCCTTGTGTTGGATGCATTTACAGGTACTTGCTCTTATTATTTTGTCATTGGACACTTTATATACTCATGATGTACTTCAATGACATATTTTAAGATAATAAATTCAACAGGAAATATGATTTCAATGGTGAGTTCTTCCTATTTAGTGAGCAAGCATACCAGATGATGGCCATTTAATCCATAGGCAATCTAAAAACCAGATGTCAAATGTCAATATATTGCTTTGGAATGACATTACACATGCCATTATTTCAAATGATATTCTTCCTTCTTTTCACTAAACATGGATAAATCACAAGAAAATCATATTTCTAGTTGACTCATATAATAAAAAAAAATGTGTCCAACATTGTGTGATATTTATAAATTGTTCAATTATGGAAAAAGAAGGGCAAATTGTTCTAAATGTGATCCAGAAGACAGGCGGAAAAGATGGCGAAATTTGTAACTTTATAGTGAAATATCTTGATAAATAATGGTTGTTTCACATTTTCATTATCAAATTCGTGTTTTTCAGACAAAAATACATAAGTACCAAAAAAATTTTCGAAAAAAAAAACATCACATGATAAGTGCAAAATTACCCATGGATTTTTGAATTTGAAAGAATATGAATCTATTTTCCTGAATGTGTTCAAATCCATTTGGTTAGTTGTTCAACAAATCTAATAAAATATTTAATTCATGATAGGTAGGTGTAGCTAACAAGAGGGATAACAATAGAAAAACATTCTGTTCTAACATAAAGCAGGAATTTATTAATGTATAGTATATGAAAATTATCACTTTCACTAGGTAATAAAAAAAAATTGAAAACTCTTTTAAATTGTGTATGCTATAAAATTGCTGGCCTACTTACCTATTTCAATTTTCCTTGGAACCCCTTAATTACAAACATTTAGTGGAAGTATTTATTGACTGGAAAAAAAATAGAAATTACCAAGTGACAGTTCTAAAAGAGTCTGTTGGCCTTTGAAAACATTCACCAGAAGAGAATCCATCAATCATTGTGTTTTAAATTGTACATGTGTATGTTTAGAAAAAATTTCATGAAAAAGCTCAAAATTTATTTTGTTTCATTTATTCAAAATTTAAAATGTGGTGGAAATAGTCATTAAAAATATTGTATCAATTAATAAATAATCCTTCTTTATTGACTTGAATACACATGATTTATAACCATTATTAAACAATTCTACTGGCTAGTGACCTAGTACCTTCAGCCTTTGTATTTACACTAATATAATATACTATCAGTTTTACTAGTTTCATAAACAATCAATATATGTATATACAGGGTAACTCACGGTCGATGGTACGTTAGACGTTCATGGAGAACGGGACATAGGATCATTCCGAAATTTTGGTTACTCACGTAGTTGCTCTTGGTCTATTGATCTAAAATATTTTCAGCTCTGCAGCGTTGCCGCTTCTATCGAAAAGTAGCAACAACTTTGTTATTTTAAATGGAACACCCTGTATTTTATTGCATTTTCAGATTCTAAACGTCTAACATACCATCGACCGTGAGTTACCCTGTATTATTCCTTATTTTATTTTCTGGGAGAGTATATAATTTGAGATGAAATTATCATGTTTTGGAACTGTGAAATAAAAAATCAGAGTTATTGCTCACTGGGACCAAGAATATATTAATATCATTCTATAATTCATGAACTTCGAACCTTGAGTTAATATCAAAATTAAAGATGTTTTTTTTATTCCTAAACATAATTAATTTTGAATTTTACCTCGAAATCTCTTCAATAATGATTTTTGATGAATTTTTCTTTGAATTATAGTAGGTTTTTCATGGCAAATGTCAGGAATTTTTCCAAAACATTGGGTAAGTATTTTATTCAAATATCCAAAAACAGATTTAAGTAATTCTGGTAAAATATGTATTCATTCAATTTTTGAATGATCAAATGTAATCAAATTGAAATTTTCAATTACAAATTATGATGTAGATGAAAAAAAAAACGGTGATGTCATTTTCTATAATTTTTATATTTTCATGGTAACAATCAGGATCTCCTCGTTTCTTTTTTAGTGTTTTTTTGAACAACCATTCATACAGTATTTGAGCATTGGAGCTTGTATTTTCTTCAGTATTTTCATGAAAATAATCTCTTAACAAAATGTATGATGAAAATGCAAAAATGCTAATTGTTCTTGGTTTTATGCATAAATGGGTTTTTCTGCTCTCTGCATCCATAGAAAGATAGTTTTTCTACTTCATTTATTTCAGGAACCACTATTAAATTCCAGGTGTACACTAATTGTACAGACAGCTACTATGCATTGTGGTCATCTGGTTTGTTTTGTATTTATTTTTATATCTGCTATTTTTTCCTTTTTTGATAGTGCAGCCCATATATAGCTTTTTTTACTCATCAGTAAAATATCTCTTAGTCTAGAATATACAAGGTGGATACACAATAGCCTGCTCTTTTCTCTTAATGAAAATTATGAATTAGCTTAGTTTGACTACTCAAGAAGTCATTGTTGATGGGTCACATTTATTTGTGAACTCATTTTCTGGGGTTTTAGGGAATCTTTAGGAAGATTCGTGTTATCCAATTTTGCACACTATACAAGTTGATCAGTGTGTTATGCTAGATCTTCCTGTAGTAATATCTATCCATACATTATTCTTCCAAAATACTCATGACATAAAAAAATCGAAATTTGCAAGTTTAGGTGACAATGTAGAATTTTTTTGCAGAGTTTTGTTTGTCACCATGTATTTTTATCAGGGGTCTAGTAGTCATATACCATATACCCAATTAATTTGTCTCCAAAATGAAGAAAACCACATTCAAATATGTGGAATTTTATCATGAAAATATTCAATGTTTGAATGCAAAAATATACCATACACCCAATTAATTTGTCTCCAAAATGAAGAAAACCACATTCAAATATGTGAAATTATCATGAAAATATTCAATGTTTTAATGCAAAAATGTGCTTGCTATGGTTCAGTTGAAGGCTTTCTACGGCTTTCTATGACAAAAAAGCTAATTCAGAGGAGAGCATTAAAATAGATTTTCTTGAAATGGGTTTAAATTGAAAAAAAGAAGTACTTGATGAATCTGTTTTTTATTTGTGTGGAAAAAATATGTACAATTTGGGGAAAAATGTATTTGACATGTGGTTTTTGATGGAAAATTGAGACACTTCTGAATATAAGTGTTGAACATCAATGGACAAATGTAATATGCACCTCTGTGAAAAACTGCTGCTTGCTAACCTGCATGCTGGACTATAATAGACAGTTTTTCCTCAACCTCCTCCTGCTCCTGAAGAATACAAGTAATGCTAGTGATTTTAGACCTAAATAAATAAATGAATATCTTTATTTTCCTTTAGACTTTCTAAAAAAGTTATAGGTATAGTCAGGTTGTTACAAAAATATAAATTTATAAACTAGATAAATAACAGATTACATAATCATAATATAATAGAGGAACATAATTTAACACAACTGAAAATATAATAGAAACACACAACTGAAAATATAATAGAAACTGCTGCAAATAGTCAAATGATAAATTATGTAAATGACCACAATTTGGCTTCTGCAGCAAACACTCATGTGAGACAGCACTGCAATCAACAATTAATAGCAAACTGGACTAATTCAATTGGTAAAAGTAAATATATTGTGGCAGTGTTTATAGATCTAAAAAGAGCATTTGAGATCAGTGATAGGGGTATATATCATGGTATATTATGGCTTGAGGGAGTTGTCTTAGACTGGCTGACTGATTACTTGACAGGTAGGAGTTAAGTTGTAATAGTATATCACGTAATATGTGTTGTAAGAAGCAAATTATATGTTTTTTCATATATATCAACTCAATAAAATTGTTAACATCACATTGAAAGGAAAAGTTTACATGTTCTCTGATGACACTACATTGGTTTATTCCACAGACTCAATCCAACAAATCAGAAATGCAATTGAAAGGAAAGTGACTTGATTGTTTTATCTACATAGTTCTCCTATAATGAATTGATTATAAATTACAACAAGTCAGTATTCATGTATATCTCTAGACGACGCCTCTCAAGTGAACTGAAATTTGATATCAAATTTAATAATGAAATCATAAAATTAATTTTGACTTGCCAACTAACCCTCACAATTGTACAGGGTGATTCACCATAAATGTCCCCCCCCCCTCTAGCTCACTTATTTTTTAACCGATTTAAAAAAAATTTTCCCGTTGCATTAGAAAATACAGGGTGCTCGGAACAAACCATCTACAGAGTACTACTTGATTTTTTCAAATGGAACACCCTGTATTTCATTGTATGTTTAGATTCGTCCTGAAGAGCTGATTCTAACAATATATCACATTTAGGATCTAGCGGAAATGATTACAGAGATATAGGGTGTTCAAAATCGAGATTTTTCAACTTTGGGATTTTTTGTGTCGAAACTATTCATCATTGGTCAAAACGGTTTCTATGTCCCTCCCTATCTCAACTTTTGATTTACTATCTACTGACATTTAATTGGAACATTTACAGGGTGATTCAAGATTAAGAATTCCGATCACCCAGTATCTGTTCCAATTACTAAATGTCAGTAGATAGTAAATCAAAAGTCAAGGTACGGACATGGAAGCCGTTTTGACCGATAATGAATAGTTTCGGCACAAAACAAATCCTAAAGTTGAAAAATCTCGATTTTGAACACCCTATATCTCTATAATTATTCCCGCTAGACCCCAAGAAGAATCCAAAAATACAATGAAGAATAGGGTGTTCCATTTGAAAAAATCAAATAGTACCCTGTAGATCGTTTGTTCCGAGCACCCTGTATCTTCTGATGTAGCAAAAAAAAACTTTATCGAAAATCATTTGAGATGATATTTCAAATTTTGAAATTGGTTCGAAAATAACTGAGCTAGAGGGGGGGAAGCATTTATGGTGAATCACCCGTAGGTGGGTTCATTCCCTCTTCCCCGCATGCAACAATATTTTAGTAGGGACGTCGAGCACCAGATCACGAACGCCGCGCACCATAAACTGCCAATTGAGCTCTTTTCTACCTTGAACGAGAGAGAGAGGATAGTTTTCTCTTCTTCCATCTTCCTCTTCAATGCTACCAACGTGGCCGCATATTAATATAGAGAGGTCCGATAAATCTCTCCTTGTCTACCATTCAGTTTGTGACACTGAAGAATGTTCGATGTTATAATGCTTTCTGACTGACACTTGGACTGAACTGAATCACTTAACATGCATTCTAATATTCTAAATAATAATATTCTTTGAAAAGGACATAATAACGGATTCAGGTTCAGTTCTAAAGAGATATTTTAGTTAGTTTAACTTCAATGTTAGCTTTTTCGGAAATTGGTTGCACCCTAGTCAGCGATATAGAAGTTCGTTTGATGGATGTTGAAGGGGATTTTGAGGGTGCCGGATTTTTGGTAACGGCTCTCAGGCTAGCTCTTTCTGCTATAGTTTATCCAAAAACAATTGCAGAATCTTGTGCCGCATCTGCAGTCACTTCAAAGGAATCTTCAGACACGCCGACGCTGCACAGTGCGAGAGATTCTGCAATTGATATTGGATATACTATACTTCCAAATTGTTCAGTGCCGTCTTCCTCGTGTTTATGTATATTGGGTGAGCATACTCAAGAATTGGGCGGCAAATGGTATTGTTAAAATGTGCTGCAGTTCTTTTTCTAATTCCTTCATTCTTGTAAGTTAGGCTTCGAAAATGTTAAGCTCTTGTGATATTTTGTTAATATCGTTAATTTAACACTCTGTTGAATTCAAAAATAGTTGGGTGGCACAAACTAGATGTTAGACAAAGTAAGATTCACCGGAACTCTCTATATTTCAATTCGGCCACGTTGGTAGAAGAGAAAGATGGAACAGGAGAGAACTATCCTCTCCTATCTCTCCTTTCAGTCGGAGCATTACGCCCTAGTGCTCTTCAATAGTTTGAAGCAAATTGCTGGAAAGCGGCTCAAGTATATACAGGGTGAGTCATGACTAACCAGCCATAGCCCAATGGCGGATAGAGGAGGTCAAGGTGAGTTGATATATATATAATAAAATATTTTTTGCCCATTCTTTACAGAAATACAGGGCACTATTTGAATTCGGGGCAAAACTCCAATGAACGATATTTCAGGAACGTCTCGATGTAATCGGCTGAAATTCACTAGCAACTTACCTCTAATGACACTCCACAAGATGACGTACTATGAATGAAAAATTCCAGATCCGGACTTGGAAAACTCATTTTCTCTTTAGATGTAAAAATTTTGACCTCCTGGATCGGATTTTTCGAAAACTTTTATCAGAATCAGAAAGATCAGGAAAAATACTACAAGTATGGCTTTTCAATTCGTACGGCACACTTCGATCGTTTTGGTAAAAAAATATCAAACAAAATACCGATGAATTTTTCTTCGGTTTCGTCCGGGCATATCACTCTCTACATTCGACTAAAAGTAATTAAATCAAATTTTTTCCTGGAAAGATTCAACAGCACACTTGAGAAAAGGTATAATTCAATGAAAAATTGCAGGACCGGACTTGATTTCGGAAAATAACATTCATAATTTCCGAAAAAGATTTGTCAGAATCTTAATATTAATCAAGATTCTCAAAATGTCCTCCTCCAATTTCTAAACATTTTCTGCATCTCTTCGGGAGACCTCTTATGGCTTTTCCAATGATTTGCCTATTATTTCTGATTATATCTGCAGCTGTAACTATCCTCTCCCTCAGTTCGTCTCTGGTGTTGACTTCAGTCTGATAGTTCAATTGTTTCATATGCCCCCAAAGAAAATAGTTCAAAACTGTGAGATCAGGGGACCTTCTTCGGTATTCTCTCAATGCAGCTCTTGAATTGCCATCACAAAAACCGTATACAAAAATAATATCTGCATATTCAACGTTAGTGAAATGCAGTGGCATTTTGAAGATATGAAATGAAATATGAAATTATAAAATTAGTAACAGTATGTATTTGAAAGTATCAACAATGAACTAGATGTCATTTGACAGTTTCAACAACCGTCATAAATCGAGTCAATGACATACACTACTATATCACAGCCTTCTTTTCATGTGTATTCAGAATCGATGAACAACTAAACTCACAATTTGATTTGCTGATTGGGAGAGTTCACAAGAAATGAGATCATATTCAGTATTACTTCAAATCAAAATCCCTCCATGTAGTATAAGTTGGCACGTATATCTGATTCGAAAAAAAAATCTGCTACCAAAGCAACAATTGTTCTTATTAAATACAAAGTTTTCACATTATCACAAGTAGAAGTTAGATTTCGATTGAAAATTGGGAGAGGATAGTTACAGCTGCAGATATAATCAGAAATAATAGGCTAATTATTGGAGAAGACATTAGAGATCTCCCGAAAAGATGCAGAAAATGTATTGAAATGGGAGGAGGACATTTCGAGAATCTTGATTAATATTAAGATCCAGACAAATCTTTTTCGGAAATTATAATTGTTATTATCCAAAATGAAGTCCGGTCCTGGATTTTTTATTGAATTATACTTTTTCTCAAGTCTGCTGTTGAATCATTCCAGGAAAAAATTTGATTTAATTACTTTTAGTCGAATTTAGAGAGTGATATGCCCGGACGAAATCGAAGAAAAATTCATCGGTATTTTGTTTGATATTTTTTTACCAAAACGATCGAAGTGTGCCGTACGAATTGAGAAGCCATACTTGTAGTATTTTTCCTGATCTTTCTGATTCTGATGAAAGTTTCCGAAAAATCTGATCCAGAAGGTCAAAATTCTGACATCTGAAGAGAAAATGAGTTTTCCAAGTCCGGATCTGGAATTTTTCATTCATAGTACGTCATCTTGTGGAGTGTCAGTAGAAGTAAGTTGCTAGTGAATTTCAGCCGATAACATTGAGACGTTCCTGAAATATCGTTCATTGAAGTTTTGCCCCGAATTCAAATAATGCCCTGTGTTTCTGTAAAGAATAGGCAAATAATATTTTTTTACATATATATCAACTCACCTTGACCTCCGCTATCCGCCATTAGGCTATGGCTGGTTAGTCATGACTCACCCTGTATAGCCTAAGAACTCAGTGGTCAAACAAGCAAAGAAAATTCAACTTGGCTGTCAGAAACTTGACACTGTAAACTTCCAGGGGCCCAATTCTCGAATCCGTTGGAATTCGTTCCCATGGGGAACACTCTATATTTCCCATGGAAATTTGAGATGATGTATTCTTGAACTATTGTATGGAAAACTATTCCTACACATTTCAAGAGAACTGCTGCTATGGTGATATCCATGGGAACAACATGTTTCCCTTAGGATACACTCATGAAATACGAAGTTATTCTCATTTGTGATGGGAACTGAACCCAAGTGAAAAATCGAAAAAACATGTTTGCCAAACATAGCAAACATAGATGAAATAGATCATCTAGAGACCTTACAAAATTTGAAAGTGGCTGAAATCCTTGCTAGAAGACCAAGAAGAAGATTTTTGCTTAGAAGGAACCCATTTGAGTGTTTGTCTGCTGCACAATTTATTAAAGTTTTTCGTTTGTCCAAAGGCATTACTAGAGAATTGATAGGTACTTTAGAATCCTTATAAGTGAGTTGGAGGTACACTTGTTTAAGTAAATTCAGTATGTGAAGGGTGATCCATAAATTATTGGACATAGAAGTAAAGTAGGATGTTGACTTCATAAGATTGTGTCTTGGACCAACCCAACTTGATTCCAAGTTCTTGAACAGTTTTTGAACAGTTACTGAACAGTTTCTGAACAGTCTTTAAACAGTTTTGGTATTTACTTCGATTAATTTTTTGGAGGGCGCCGCTTAACCCAAATTCGTGACATTTCGCAGAAAATAGAGCTGAACTCACTTGTTTTCAATAACAAAACTTGACAGTTCTCGATATGCATATATTTTAGGAATCAGCTGGATTATTCTCATTTGATTTATCATGATAAATATTGACGTAGTAGGTAGTTAAGCTTGAAAATATCAACCGAGTAAGTGAAAACTGTCAAGTTTTGGTAAAATAATTATGAATGACATCCCACTCTAGTTTTCAGCACCGCTGGAACATTCAACATTAGATTCGGGCACCGTAACTATACAAGGTGATTCTAAAATAGGTGGTCAAACTTTTGGAGCATATAGAGTGGGTGAAATAGTTACGAAAACCTCCGTAACAATTTTTTCTGAAGTGACCCCCAAGAAAGATACTGCCCATCAAAGGGGGGGGCTCGGAGAATGATTTTGTATTATTATCTCCAACACCTTGTATAATGAAAATCTGAAATTTTGTCCATCCACTTACTATTCTGTGCCGGTTCGAATGGATTTAAAATCACCTCAAAATTGAATACAGGGGTGTGTCAAAATAGGGAGGTAGGGGGTAAAAATAACCCCAATTTTTGTTGTTCATCGCAATTTCAGTTTTTTTTACATGAAATTATGAAATCTCATGGGAATTTACATAGAAAAGGTGCTCTTGTTGCATCTCGATAAAATGAACCATTAGCGAACAAGAGCTCCTTTTCTATGTTAATTGCCCTGAGATTTCATAATTCCATGTCAAAAAACTAAAATTGCGATGAACAAAAAAGTTGGGGTTATTTTTACCCCCTACTTCCCTATTTTGGCATACCCCTGTATTTAATTTTGAGGTGATTTTAACTCCATTCGAACCGGCATTGAATAGTAAGTGGATGGACAAAATTTTGAGATTCTCATTATACAAGGTGCTGGAAATAATAATAATACAAAATCATTCTCCGAGGCCCCCCTTTGAGGAGCTGTATCTTTTTTGGGGATCACTTCAGAAAAAAATGTTACGGAGGTTTTCGTGACTATTTCACCCACTCTATATGCTCTTAAAGTTTGACCACCTATTTTAGAATCACCTTGTATAACATTCCACTACCGATTTGGGCACTGTTTGAACATTATGCTATGCGATTCGGCACCGTTCAATTATTGGTTGTGATAGTAAGGTGTATTTGAATGAGCCAATAAACATTGAGACGGGTACCGAATCCTATAGTGGAATGTTTAAATGCACCCCGCCTGCATGAAATTAGGAGGGATCAACAATCAATTGTCTCTTTCCTATTTCCAGTACTACGATATCTCCGCGAAATCCAACTACAACTTCGAGAAACCGTTCTTGTGGCTCGCCAGGAAGCTGATCGGCGATCCCAATCTGGAATTCGTGGCGATGCCGGCCCTGGTGCCCCCAGAGATCCAGATGGACCCGCAATGGCAGGAGCAAATCGAAAAGGATCTGGAAGACGCCCAAAAAACGGCTCTGCCAGACGACGACGAGGATTTGTAGAATGTCATATCTTTGGCGTTGTTGTCTCTAATTCGGTTCGAACACGGGCATTTTAAGGGAACGTTTCGTCAATGAAGAAGTTGGAAAATTGTTTTTGTTTTGTTTTTTTTTTCTGTTTTAAGTAAACTGACATAATATTCCTTGATATTTCCAGGGGAGAAGAGCGGTGGAATTTTAGTGTACAACAATTGGATTTTCCTGGAATACAGTGGCATTTCTTCAGAACATTTTGGTTTTTACTGGAACTCCTTTAATTACCGTGGATTTTCTTGGATTATTTTTTTTAGAAACCCCTCTCAATTTCTTGGAAACTTTTGTTGATAATCTCATGGAGTTCTTGGAATCCTCTGCAATCTCTTTGAATCATTCACAATTATTTATAATTAGGATCCTTGGATTCCTTTGCACTTCATTTAAATATTCTGAAATTTCTTATAACATTGCAATCTCGTGGAACCTTGTGCAATGATTGCATTAATCCTTAGAACCCCCTGCAATCCCCTTGTATTATATTATTGCAATTGGAATCCATTGAATTTCTTTGAAATCATTTGAAAACTATTCGAATATTCTGCAGTTCCCAGGAACAATGAAATTTAATGGAATCCTTTGCAATCCCTTGTAATCACTCGCAATGCCTTGGAACCCTTTGCATTATTTCTTGAAATCCTATGCATTTCCTTGGATCCCTTTGCAATCCCTTGGAATGCATTACGATTCCTTGGACTGTTTTCACTATCTTGGGATTTTCTGCAATATCTTAGAATATCTTGCTATCATTTGTTATCATTTAGAACATTTTACGATTGATATCTCGTTTTATGTTTTGCAATCTAAATCATTTATTTTTCAATTCCTTAAAACTTCATGGAAGGCTTATTAATCGCTTGAAATCATGTGCAAATCCTTGGAGCCTTTGCAATCCCTTGGATGCCTTTGCAATCCTTTGGAATGCATTAAAGTTCCTCAAAACTGTTTTTACTAGTATCTTGGCGTATTCTCTCATATCTTAGAATCCCTAGCTATTTGTTATTATTTGGAACCCTTTACAATTCCTAGAAATCCTCTGGAATCCCTAGCCGTTTGCGATTTCTTGGAATCCTTCAAAAATGTTGGTAATTTCTGGTAATTCCTTGTACATAACGATATTATCTAAATTATTGAAAATTCCTTGGGAAATAAAATTTCGTGGTCCACCTCTCCTACTTTTCATGCAACTACCATTTGTAGAAATGAAATTTCTCGCTTCTTCTTTGATGAAATTAATTTAGGTGTCTCGATGTTCGGGCCTTGTGCATAAAATAAAAAAATTAACAAGACTTCAGAACCTTAATTTATGGTAAATTTTATTGTGTGGAACCGTGCGGACGAGCTGTTGATATTTTTATATGATATACATGTTTCTGGATTTGTTGATAGGTTTGTCTGGATTCAAACTCGGGAGTGTTTGGTATGATTGTGAAGGTTGAACAATTGTTGGAAAAACCGGTACTTATGTACTAATTTGCGGTATGAATTATGATTAACTCTGTCATGAACAGTTGTTTGATAATTACATTAAATGAATGGTATGCTCTGATGATTGAGGAAAATGCCTGTGTGATTTTTCTTATTTGTAATTGATGTATTCATCTCCTGAAACGGAGTAGACAATTGTGTTACTTTAATAAAAACAATTTTTCAGTAGTTCCTTGTTTCAGTTAGTCAAGCCAATATGCCCCTTATCAAAATTTTTCAAAAACTGCGATATCAACGAAATTAACAAAATACAAGTTTCGCTTCTTTAGAGCAAAATTCTCAAAATAAGCTAAGCTAATTTTGACTTGCTAACTAACCCTAACAATTGTACAGGGTGATTCACCGCATAAACGTCCCCCCCTCTAGCTCGCTTATTTTTTAACCGATTTAAAAATTTGAAAAATCAGAATGATTTTTCAGAATTTTTTTTCCCGTTGCATTAGAAAATACAGGGTGCTCGGAACAAACGATCTACAGGGTACTACTTGATTTTTTCAAATGGAACACCCTGTATTTCATTATATTTTTAGTTTTTCCCTGAAGAGCTGATTTCATCAATACATCACACTTGGGGTCTAGCGAGAATGATTACAGAGATATAGGGTGTTCAAAGTCGAGGTTTTTTAACTAAAGTATTTTTTTGTGTGGAAACTATTCATGATTGGTCAAAACGGTTTAAATGTCCCTATCTGAACTTTTGATTTACTATCTACTGAGATTTAATTGGAACATATACAGTGTGGTTCAAGATTCAGAATTCTGATCACCCTGTATCTGTTCCAATTATTAAATGTCAGTAGATAGTGGATCACAAGTTGAGACGGACATGAAAGCCGTTTTGACCGATATATACAGGGTGTCCGGTAAAAGGAGGTCAATCCATTAATCATATATTCCTTGAACAAAAACAATATGAGTTTCTAAATACCATTTTTCATTTTAGCCCTTCATATTCGATATACAGGTTGTCAAAGTTGGAGATTAAAAACATTTTTTTTTTTTAATTACTCGCGTATTTAATGAGACAATAATCTCAAAATTGGTACATCACTTCAGCACTAAGAGTTACATCGTGTGAAGAAAACAAAACAGAAAATAACTGTCAAATATTCAAAATACTGGGGGTCAAGTACACACTTACCCCCATTTTTTTGTACGCGCGCTAATGACTTCCTATCTATTTTTCTTCAAGTGTTCAATCATTTTTGAGTATTTTTTGTCTCTTGTAAAATTTCGATAAAATTATTTGAATTTAAATAATTTTTACAAAAAAAAATTATAGAAACTCAACACGTCTAAATGAATTGCTCGACATGACCTCCAATTACACATGCGAGCCCTTTTATTTAAAGAAAATCTTAGCCTTTGAAAAATATGTGGCTTGTAGGTACACAAAATCTTTCATACATCCCCAGACAATCCTGATCTGCTATTTCTTTCATCAAATAGCTATTAAAATGATGGATATCATAATTTCACCAGAAATTTCCGAAAATATTTTTTTTTAATTTTTTTCGATTTTATTTCCCGTTCGTTCGCGCTTGACATACCATACGGAGGGGGCTCGATTTTTAAAAAATTCCGCACTTCCCAAAATCGCTCAAACCGATAGGTATTAAAAGAATTTTGAAAAATTTGCTGTTTTCGAAAAAAGTCAATTTAATGATTCTTCAAAAGGGTGGACTCGTCAATCGACCCCCCCATTCTCCCAAAATCATTATTTACCCGAAATTCCAAACAACGTTTTTTTTATTTGACCGCCTTAAAAAAATTTCACGCCGTTCGCTTGGCAAACAAATTTCATTCGACATGTGTCCTCACTTTTTTTTGTAAAAATTATTTTTATATACATTCGCTCTGAGCACCTGGTATTTCCATATTCACCTTTTTTACGTAAAAAGTTACGCCCCCTTCCAATTTCGACGAAATAAATAGGAGTATGTGAACATTATGAGATTACCGTAAGCAGCATAAGCATCAAACAATAATTAGTACTTTTCGAATTATCTTCAAAACAAATAATGTTATCAAAATTTTACAAGACGCAAAAAATACTCAAAAATGATTGAACACTTGAAGAAAAATAGATAGGAAGTCATTAGCGCACGTACAAAAAAAATATGGGGGTCAGTGTGTAGTTGACCCCCAGTATTTTGAATATTTCACAGTTATTTCCTGTTTTGTTTTCTTCACACGATGTAACTCTTTGTGTTGAAGTGATGTACCAATTTTGAGATTAATATCCCAGCAAACATCGACAGGCGGTAGAAAGCCGGGCCCATGGCGAGAACGGCGGGCAAATGTCGATGTCGGCATGCCTCGAAAGGCCCTCCATATAATTTCGAAGGATTATGTGACGAAGGCAGAATGTACACATAGTTATGATGGGCCTCAGTTTCCTAGCCGCTAGTCTTCCGCTGTATGTATCCAAGTCCAAGGGCCATCAAAATTTCAACGGAGTGTGCCATCATCACTTACTCAACGTTGGCATCCCTCGCTCGCGTGCGTTTTTATTTTGATCATTTTGCAGTGGTAACAATGATTCAGTATGGCGTATATTAATTCCTTTGTTTATGTTGTTTCAACACTCTCAACAGAGATTTAAGTACTGTGTTCAGTTCGTGTTTGGTTTTCTAGTGGATTTTTATACAAAATGGAAGGGCATTGAAATAAATACAGAGTGAGTAAGGAAAAAACATATATACAGACTTGCACAGCTAAATAATTCTCCAATTTTAGACAAAAATTTTACAAACACCATTGGACAAACAGATGCAATGATAGTTTGGACATGTTCAGCGGATACACAAGAATATGATAATATATGGGGACGTTGAAGATGCATGAGCTTTCATTACATATGAATCATAAATCTATTTTCGAAACGGAAATCAAAGAGTAGGTACCTACTTGGAGAAACAGTTATATTTCAAGAATTACTGTAGGTATGTATAATGTTGCATGTTTTGGATTAGTAGAGAATGAAATCATTCAATCTTTCAGCTACAGAATCAACAACCAGAAGCCCATCAATCACAGATATTAATGAAGAAATCACACAATGATCCAGATCCAGACTATGATATAAATTTCTTCATGGTATATGATATCTCACTTTCAGGCAACAACTCATATCAATATGATAAAGAGTAAGGTTCTCCATATTTGGGAATTGTTTTCTTGTGGATTGAACTCTATTGTTGACAATAACTTGATCAATATAATAACTGATTACCTACATAACTTTCAAGTTATTTGGTAGGTACATAGGTGATGTAATTTTCGACCTAGAGTTAGCAACTTTTTGAAACAAGTGGAAAAACAAATATCTATCCTGCATGATGAAACACAAATACATATTATTGGAAATTGTAGGTACCTTTTCATAATGAGTATACAGAGTGATACGTAGAACTAGAATTGAGATGTTTGATGTTTCCATAGTTATGATATGTATTTGGTTGTGATCATGGCAATAATATACACACATGAATATTTTCAGTTCTTGTTTTTGTATGGGGTATTTATACTGCTCGTTCCTGGAAATAACTGTGATATCAGGATGCCATCTCAGAGATTTTATGTAATTATTCAAGAACTTCAGGTAAGGAGTGAATTCCACATTTCTGTTATACCTAGAGGATTCACAAAAAACTCGGAGACCTCAATTCTGTTTATTGAAGTTCCACTTTTTTAACCAGTTTGAAAATAAAGAGAGTGATGCAAATCTGAGTGAAAATAAGATACGTTGCTTTCCAAGTGGTGATATAAACTGGGATACCTATCAAAAAACCTATTTTCACTGAGATATATGCATTACTCTGTATATTTTTTGACAAACCTAGTTGAAAAATGGAACATCAAAAAACAGAATACCATGAATATTGAATTCATTCAACCTCGTTAACCAACGGCCCTGAAAAACTCCTCTATCGGGGGAATAAAAATACTCAAGCGGCCAATTAATGGCAGTCTCTGAAAAGTCTCAATCGGGCCGAAGATATGCCATGAATGCAGTACATTTGAGTACTTGCTTCTGTCCACCAGAAGCCCTGCAATGTAATAAGCGGCATACTGATGGCTATAGAGAGGCGGTCGGCTGTCGGCCGCCGGGACACGGGCTAGCCGGCCCAATTAAGTTGTACAATAGAGGACCGCTGTTACCGCTCGCCGGCAAGTTTCATTGTACCTTTAGAGGGCCGCAAAAATCATGTTTGCTGGGATCTTATTAAATACGCGAGTAATTAAAAAAAAAACTGTTTTTAATTTTCAACTTTGACACCCTGTATATCGAATATGAAAGGCTAAAATGAAAAATGGCATTTAGAAATTCATAATGTTTTTGTTCAAGGAATATATGTTTAATGGATTGACCTCCTTTTAGCGGACACCCTGTATAATGAATAGTTTCGTCACAAAAAAACTACAAGTTGAAAAATCTCGATTTTGAACACCCTATATCTCTGTTTTCATTTTCGCTAGACCCCAAGTGTGATACATTGATGAAATCATAGCTCTTCAGAAAGAATCTAAAAATACAATGAAAAATAAGGTGTTGCAATTAAAAAAATCAAATAGTACCCTGTAGATCGTTTGTTTCGAGCACCTTGTATTTTCTGATGTAGCGGAAAAAAACTCTATCGGAAATCATTCTAGAAAATATTTCAAACTTTGCAATCGGTTCAAAAATAACTGAGCTAGAGGGGCGAGACATTTATGGTGAATCACCCGGTACGGGTATCATCTAAGTGATTTATAAGGATCAAAATATCATTTTGCTGGATTGAGAACCAGCCACTATGCTTGTGAGTGTTCTATTTGCACGGAACAAACCGCATTTGCTGCGTATTTTATTTTCAGGCGGCGTAAAAAAAATAAATCATTGTGTGGTGCCATTTGGTCTCAACTGAAAAAATTTTCCTGAAGGTGAGTGAATCAAAAACATACTATATATATGATATTGTGAAAGATTTTATGCATTGAATGGCAAATGGAAACATGATTCAACATGGTGGTTCACAGTGTCTGTTTCCAAAAATTTTTTCGGGATCAGATTTCAGGACATATATTTGTGTGCCATCACATTTGTGTGCTCTGGAAGCGTACCGCTACGGATCAATGGTCATATTAGATTTTGATTCAAACATTCCAGTGTGTCAAAATTGTCCTCCATTCCAAGAATTTTGAATTGCAAAAAGATCAAGATGAAATTTACGATTTGTTGGATAGGATAGGATCAGATCTGGAAATCGATTCCAATAAAGATGACCAGTGGGAGTTGAATACACATGAACAGTTAGAACTGCCGGTGCCGGAGGAATATTTGTTGAGTGGGTGGATGAAAATGCATTATCGTCTGCGGGACGGCCGCAAGTAATAACTCCGTGGTGGGAGAACGTTATAGTGGACAGTAGATGCGACTGGCGTTATGCGGCGCCGACTGAATGACTTCATCATACTTCGTCTCGTAAGCAACTGGCGGGCCGGGGTTCGAATCCGTGCGAGGCTCATCTTTTTTTTTATTTTTTTCTTGTTCTCAAGTGATTTCTAAAAAATATTCTCTATGGGAAATAGGTTCATTTAGGGGTTTTCTATGTTTAGGCCAGAGGTGAGGTTCGGTTAGGTTAGGTTAGAATAGAATAGAATATTTTATTTGGTGTTAATAAACATTAAGTTTTACACAGGTCAACGAAACAAGTACAGATATACTCATAAAATAGATAGGTTAGGTTTTCTCATTTTTTATGCAGAAACAATATTTTCCTTCCTCAAGAAAAATTCTCCTTCTTCAAGAAAAAAGGTTCATATAGGTCGATTGATTGTTAAAAAAAATTCCTTCCTTATATTAGACTCGACACAAGTTAACTAACGTTCCCCTACCACGGAGTTATTACTTGCGGCTGTCCGCAGACGCTAGTTGAAAATGCCAATACGCCGACCGTTCTTCTTGCATGTAGAGAAGCTTCTATTTCAACAAATGACAAACGATATGATGAAATTGACCACTGGCCTGTCATTGATTTTCCGAAATCACCATACTTCGATCAGAGTATTATCGAGTATTATCGAATTTCAGGAAAATGTTCTCAAAAAATGTAATCAGTGCTCTTTTGATTTTTGTGCATACAATTATAATATCCAAATTTTGATTTTTCTTTTGTTTGGATAGTTAAGAATGGCATAATTTTGGATTTTTCCACATGAAACTACCTTGTAGATAATATGTTCATGCCATTTGATATAGCAATAAATCTCTTTTCAATGACATGACAAGTGGACACGGAAATTATGCATCACCAAAATCAGCGATTCCTTTTAGTAATTCTTTTAAATGACATTCTTTCTCTTGAATTTTGTTCAAAATTTTAAATAGGAAATGGTACTTTTTTAAGTGAACATTGAAGTTCAAGTATCCACAGATAAATGCCTGACACTACGCCTTTTGTTTTTAGGGTTAGGTTGTCAAAAAGAATATACAGGGTGATCCACGGTGGATGGCCTATATAGAAGTATCTGGAGAACGAAAAGACAAAACTCTCTAAAAATTGGGATGCTTTGATAATTGAACATTCTCTATTCGTCTAAAATATTTTCATCGATACAGTGTTGCCACTTCTATCAGAATCAACTAGCAACTTCGTTATTTTAAATGGAGCACCCAGTATTTTATTGCATTTTCAGATTCTTCCTGAAGAGCTGATTTCATCAATGTATAATACTTGGTGTCTAGCAGGAATGATTACAGTGATATAGGGTGTTCAAAATCGAGATTTTTCAAATTTAGGATTTTTTTGTGTCGAAACTATTCCTTATAGATCAAAACAGCTTACAGGTCCCTATCTCAACTTTCGATTCACTATCTACTGACATTTAATTGGAACGGATACAGGGTGATCAAAATTCTGAATCTTGGAGCACCCTGTATTTTTTCAATACATTGATGAAATCGGCTCTTCAGAAAGAATCTAAAAATGCAATAAAATACAGGGTGTTCCATTTGAAATAACAAAGTTGCTAGTTGTTTCTGATAAAAGTGGCAACACTGTTTCGATGAAAATATTTTAGACGGATGAAGAATGTTCAATTATCAAAGCATCCCAATTTTCAGAATGTTCCGTCTTTTCGTTCTCCAGATACTTCTAATGGGCCATCCACCGTGGATCACCCTGTATATTTATGCAATATTTATTAAAAATAAGGAGAGGCTGAGTGGTTCAAGCATTTATCAGTAGATAGGTAGGTATTGACTTTCATCAGAAACTGATGAAAGTCATTGACTATTTCATTAGGATCCATGACGTCACAGTGTCGCCATATTGATTTTAGAAAAAATTGTCTACTGCGCCGTCATTTTGAAAATGAATGTACTTGTGATATATCACTGGAAAGGGAATTGTTTACACATCAAACGGCATGAAAATGTCTACATGGCTCCATTCGAAATTCTCAACTAAAGTCAATTTCTGGTAGAACCGGAAGTGACATTCAATTGTTTTTTGATTGAAAATATGGGTTCTGAAGAACTGGATCTTAGATCCATGAAAACAACTGAATGCAGGCGCATATAAAGCCCTGTCTAATTATTTTGTTGTCACCCAGTTTAGGAACGGAATTAAAAGCATAACCTCTTATCAATACACTTTATTCGGACTCTTTGGGGATAACAACTGATTATTTGTCAAAAAATATCATTGATCAACAGAAAAAGAGCAGATGATAAAATCACTGGTATATAAAAACAATAATTGGTAGGTACTAAGTAATAGTTATATGGATAGATAGGTACTAAATATTTCAAGATCAACTTACACGAAACTAAATAATTAGAAAAACGAATAATTATTAACCTAAGAGTCTCATTTGGCGGCTTGCAACTTCTTCTCTCTGGCCTTTTTGCCCTCAGAGATGGCTTCTCGCTCTTCTGGCGTGAGACGGGCCAATGTTTTGGTGACCACCCCAGTACCCAGCGTTTGAGAGCCGTCTCTCAACGTGAACCTTTGGCCCTCCTCAAGCACCATGGGCCTCATCATCCTCAATTCTAACCTGCAATTTCGAATGTCCAATGTATGGGTTGCATGCAAGAACTGTCAGATGACCGACCCTGGAGGCACAACATTGAAACACAACCTCACTTTTCTTATTTGTTTACAAGTGATCGAAATAGTTTTCCACAATTATTTTGGCATATGAATCGTATTTTTCCGCTATTCATCAATTCGCTCATGCCATCACATTGTGCTGTTGTAAAATGCACAAAAACTGCAGCGGAAGACGAAGGAATCCGGTTGGTACATTATGATTCAAAAGTAAGTACCTTCTATAGTCACTCACATACAGTGTGTCCCACTTACCATGCTCACCATGGGTATCTTTTTAACGGTGAGAGATACGAGGTCGGTTAAATGACACCAAATGTGGAGTTTGTCAAGGCCAACTATAATGTGAAAAAATATTTTGATAAAATCTATTCGTTTTTGTTTTATACGCAAAAAACAGATTTTGATCATTTTCATGTCTCCTCCTTATCTTCTTTATTTATGAAAATATCCAAATAGGAATTTCACATTCTCATGGCAGTTTTTCAAAGTGATTTCGAAAAAAATATGAAATTTATAACAACTCTTCTAGGATTTGAGATATCATCACCAACTGTAGTTTTTCAAATGTAGGTCATAGCTCACTATGACTTAGTTACAAATAACTTTTTTTTCTCTTTCAGATGATGTGTCGCAGTAATAGTTTTGTGTTGATAACAACAGTTATCGTCATTTATACAAAAAAAAAATATTCGGAAGCCGCCATCTTGAATTTATGAATTTTAACAAGAAAATCATGATCTCCGACCTCAAAAACCCCCACTTACCAATTTTGAATGGAATCGGACCAAATCTTGTCCGCCATCTTGGAGCAGCCATTTTTTTTAATTTCAACAAAAATTCCATAACTACGATTAACTTGAAATTTGGCAGGTGTTCATAATTTCGTTGACAATACATTATGGAATTTTTGTTGAAATAAAAAAAAATGGCTGCTCCAAGATGGCGGACAAGATTTGGTCCGATACCATTCAAAATTGGGGTGGGGGTTTTTGAGGTCGGAGATCATGATTTTCTTGTTAAAATTCATAAATTCAAGATGGCGGCTTCCGAATATTTTGTTTTGTATAAATGACGATAACTCCGTTGTTATCAACACAAAACTATTACTGCGACACATCATCTGAGAGAGAAAAAAAAGTTATTTGTAACTAAGTCATAGTGAGCTATGACCTACATTTGAAAAACTACAGTTGGTGATGATATCTCAAATCCTAGAAGAGTTGTTATAAATTTCATATTTTTTTCGAAATCACTTTGAAAAACTGCCATGAGAATGTGAAATTCCTATTTGGATATTTTCATAAATAAAGAAGATAAGGAGGAGACATGAAAATGATCAAAATCTGTTTTTTGCGTATAAAACAAAAACGAATAGATTTTATCAAAATATTTTTTCACATTATAGTTGGCCTTGACAAACTCCACATTTGGTGTCATTTAACCGACCTCGTATCTCTCACCGTTAAAAAAATACCCATGGTGAGCATGGTAAGTGGGACACACTGTATAGTTTTCATTTTTGAAATTTGGTTATTTCTCTGATTTCTCATCGAAATTCCTTCTGCAATAAGAGCTGATAGAAATATACCTGAAATTTCTAGAATAATGCAAGAAGATTGGATTCATGCAATCAATCGGGAGGACTGGTCTGACATGCTGACGATCGTGTGTGTTGTAGACATTTTCAATCTATTAGCAGTATTAGCTTGTATTGCAGAAGTGGCAGAAGGCAGAAGGAATTTCAATAAGGAATGACAACATTTCATAATGATAACTATGTGAGATTACTATTTACCTGAAAAATCATATTCCCTAGTCTCTTGCTGCATTTTTTGTGCATTGTACAACAGCACAATGCGAAGGCATGCTTGAATTAATGAATAACGCAAGAAACACGATTCATATGCCAAAATATTGTGAAAAACTATTTCAACCTTTTGATTCCTCTGTAAACAAATAAAAAAGTGAGGTTGTGTTTCAATAATTCACAGAAGAATGAGGTTGTGTTTCAATATTTTGCCTCCAGGGTCGGTCATCGTGCACGCGACCTATAGGTCGCGTGCAAGAACTGTCAGATGACCGACCCTGGAGGCACAACATTGAAACACAACCTCACTTTTCTCATTTGTTTACAAGTGATTGAAATAGTTTTTCACAATTATTTTGGTATACAAATCGTGTTTTTCGGCTATTCATCAATTCGCGCATGCCATCACATTGTGCTGTTTTACAATGCACAAAAAATGCAGTGGTAGACGAAGGAATATCCGGTTGGTACATTATGATTTGAAAGTAAGTACCTACTATAGTCACTCACATACTTATAGTTTTCATTTATGAAATTTGGTAATTTCTCTGATTTCCCATCGGAATTCCTTCTCCAATAGGAGCTAATAGAAATACTCGTGAAATTTCTAAAATAATGCAAGAAGATTGGATTCATGCAATCAAACGGGATGACTGGCCTGACATGCTGACGAAATATGATCGTGTGTGTTGTAGACATTTCCAATCTATTAGCAGTATTAGCTTGTATTGCAGAAGTGGCAGAAGAAATTTTAATAAGGAATGACAACATTTCATAATGAAAACTTTGAGAGACTAATATTCACCTGAAAAATCATATTCCTTCGTCTCCCGCTGCATTTCTTGTGCATTGTACAACAGCACAATGCGAAGGCATGCTTCAATTAATGAATAGCGCAAAAAACACGATTTGTATGCCAAAATATTGTGAAAAACTATTTCAATCCTTTGATTCCTCTGTAAACAAACAAAAGAGTGAGGTTATTATTAGCCATCAACAGTGTATTGATATGTGATATATATCCAGGAAAAAAATACTCACTTTTTTCCACGGGAAAAAAGTAATTTATTAAAAGTGACATTTTATAACCTGCCAACAGAGATGAAATGCTAAACTTTTTTCCCGTCACAGAAAAATAGTTATTTGTTTAACTAGGCAGTCAATCTACTTTGCTGCCGAGTTGAACATATAATTTTTTCTCCGATTGTTCATAATGATATATATTTCTTTATTTTTCCTGTAGTGTTCAATTAATATAAAATTTGATAGAAATCGTAGTTGTTGGAATGGTTGGTTGCTATGGAAATGTCCATAATAATCATAGTTTGACAATTCATGAAATTTCTGACAGTTGTGCGAAAAAATATCGGTATATTTTAATTATTATATAATGGACAGTGATAGCGACCTGGAAGTATTTACACCTCTAGAAATGAGGGAGGTGGCAAAAAATATAGAGTTGAATTTGTTGCCGGAGAAGTCTCGGATGAAATATGAAGGAAATTATAAACGATTTAGGGATTATTAATTCTGCTGATACATATCAATCAGCAAAGTAACCACTTTGCTGCCTAGGCAGGAAAAGTAATACTTTTCTGATTGATATGTGTCAGCAAAATTGATATTTGCTGCCAATCGGAGAAAAACAATATTTTTGCTCACCTAGAATCTTCCCCGGGCATAACCATCTCTTTATCGGCAACGATGACTTGGACGGCGCAATCCCACGTCCTGCAGAACATCTGCAACTGGATGAACGACGTGAACGGTTTCGTTCTGCCGCCTTCCTCTTTGCTCAACACATACACCTGTGACTCTATGTGGTCCTGGCTCTTGACTGTGCCTGGCTTAGCCAAAACCATGCCTGCGAATCGGGGTGTAGAATCAATTTTGAAAGCGAAATGTATAGATAGATATGATGAAAGGAATATAGAGAGGGTCGTTGTAAACAATAGAGAAGAAAATAGTGGACAAAGCTCTCATAAAAAGTTAACCGTAGGCACGTGTTTCCTTCACCAAACGAAGGAAAAGGGATGGGTTCAAGCCACCCACCATGTTTGGCCAAGAGTTGGCATTAGTCCAACAGGTCAAATACCTAGGGGTGGTTCTGGACTCCAGACTTTCATGGAGACCGCATGCGGATAGGGTTGTGCAAAAGTCGGTGGCTATCTTATGGCAACTGAGGAGAGTTATAGGAAAATCTTGGGGCATTAACCCCGAAATTATGCGCTGGCAGTACACAGCAGTCGTAAGACCAAAAATCCATTATGGGTCGGCAGTGTGGTGGCCGGGCGCAGAAACCAGTACGATAGGTCGGAACCTAAGTAAGGTCCAGAGGATGGCATGCCTAGCAATAACAGGTGCAATGAGGACAACGCTAACGGCAGCATCAGAAGTATCTGGATAATGAAGGAGGCGATGGCGGCCCACCTGAAGATGTGGTACTCAGGAAACTGGGCAAATGAAGGGACAATAACAGGACATGCAAAAATAGCAGAGTGGGTGGAGCAGGAGATTCCTATCTCTACTCTCAGAGTGAATAAAGTGAGATGGAATAGGAAGTTCAAACTTACTATTCCAAGCAGAGAAGAATGGATAAACAATACAGTGGAGTTTCGCCCAGGAAGCTTAGTATGCTACACAGACGGATCCCGTCTGAATGACAAACAGGCCTCGGGCGCAGGGATCTATATCGAAGGAAGAAACATACGAGAAAGCTACGCTCTAGGAGAATACACCACAGTTTTCCAAGCTGAGGTGTTAGCCATCCTGGTCGTAGCAGAGACGCAAGAGGTGAAAGAGGGACCAGAGCAGAAGATCTACATCTGTTTGGACAGTCAGGAAGCACTCAGGGCTATCTGTCTTCCCAGACCAAGCTCAACATTGGTACAGGAATGTGGAAATGCCCTTGAGATATTAGCAGAATCGAAGGAAGTTGAACTGGTATGGATCCCGGGTCATAGTGGGGTGCCCGGAAACGAAAAGCAGACGAACTTGCTAAAGGCCTGATCCGCGGAGCCGTTTCTGGGACCAGAGCCTGTACTAGGCATAGCCAGGGGCCAAATTACGTCAGCCCTCGACGAATGGGCGGACAGGGCACTAGGAGAATACTGGAGGAATATCACAGGTTGTAGGCAGGCCAAGGAATTCATGGCCGGTCCAAGCGAATCAAGGAAGGAGTGGCTGCTTGGCAGAGACCGCCAAGTACTCCGCCTCCTCATAGGAGTACTCACAGGACACAACAGGCTAGGCAGACATATATCACTTATGGGAATAGAGGACAACCCCACTTGCCGCAAATGCGGGGAAGACAAGGAAACGTCACTCCATTTCCTCGGCGAGTGCGAGACGTACGGAAGGCTGAGATTTGAAATCTTTGGAGTTGACAAACTCCAACAGGAGGACTTGATTATATTAGAATGGACGGACATACTGGCCTTCAGAAGGTCAGGAAGATTCGTAAAGGACATCTAGGTGAAGGAAGCGTAGATATGTGGAGAGCAGGGGATAACAAAAAGGGCCCATCGGAGCCTACTTGCTTGGCTTCAGCCTCCCCACCTACTACTACTACTAACCGTAGACACGTGTTTCGGGCTTTCGGCCATTATCAGTAGGGTGAAAAAAGTGCGAAAGATAGGCAACACTTGGTGGATGAAGAAACAACAATATAATGGAGTCAACAAACAGAAGCCAGCCAGCCGCACAATTGTGGTTTCGGTGGTAGTTTTTCCCTGAATACTCGGGATATTCTGACCGAAACCACAATTGTGCGGTTGGCTTCTATTGACTCCATTATTCTGTCGTTTCGTCATCCAGCAAGTGTTGCATATCTTTCACACTTTTTTCACAGTACTGATAAGGTCCGAGAGCCCGAAACACGTGTCTACGGTTAAGTTTTTATGAGGACTTTCTCCACTATTTTCTTCTCTGATAGATAGATAGATAGATACTTTATTCGTTTTCCATTTAAAATATTCACATCTGGAATATAAATTAACAAATATGTCAAAAAAACTCAATATCAAACAAACCATATGAATAAATGAATAAATAAATGAATAAATTGTCTACGGAGGATATAAGGATACAAAATGAAGTATTATAATTCCAATAAAAAATTCGTCTTGTGAATAACCAACATTTTTCAATTTAAACTTTCATCCATCTTTTTTTTGAAAATGTACAGATTGGGTGCGGATTTGATTTCATTATTCAATTTATTATACACTTCTCCAAGAAATTAAAAAGCACCACCAAGAAGTAGCCAAAAGTTTAGGAAACATATTCGTCAAAGGTACTTGTCAGATTTGGATGTTTTGAACATCTTTTTTATAAATACCGGGATAATAATTATTGGCATTCAATTACTCCACTGTGTCATAAGGAGCCTAAATTAATTTTTGCAACACTTCTCACTCACTTTTTTTATGTGAATGATGAGTCTATGTGTAGTTCGAAATTGTTGAATTTCAGAGCTGATTTCAAATGAACCTTCATGGCTGCCATTTGGCGATACGTCGAATAAATGGTGACGTCAGTTTTTATGCTGTTTCGTTATTGGTCAGATAATCTTCCATTTCCACTCATGAAGCAAGGTTGTCAAGTCACCAATTATAATCAAGTTATCAAGAAGATGTTAGAGGCCTGTCGTTGAATAAATCATAATAGGAGGAACCCATGATGTTTTAGTTCATTCTTGACTTTTTCGAACAACCAACATATACAAATATTTATTATTCTCCATAAAAAAACATCTTGTCAATGTTGGTGGATTGATGGATCCGCCGGTGAATAAAAGAACGTCCCTCATGTGGTTCTAAAATCACCAATATGTAGCTTTCAGCTGTAAGGCTTCCACTTATGATCACAAGTTCCATGCGACCAGTCAGATAAATGCAATCCTACTACTTTCATGCTTATAATGCCAATTGAATTCAATAAAATCATGATATGCTATGATAGTGTGTTGCTGGAGAAATAGGAAAGATAATGGAGTGAATCTAAAAAAAGTGTTGAAAACAGATGAGGCTAAAGTGTACTTTTAGTTTCAACTTGATCTTGGGGGTGTGATAATTTCTTGGAAAAGTGTATAATTTGCACCTGACGAAATGAAAATTCGTTTGATAAGTGTAGTGGAGTTAGAGTTGGCTTGTAACAAATTGCAGTAGTGAGTGTTTCATGCTTTGGTGAGCAAGTTGAAATGCTATTTAATTTATAGAAATGTATATTATATACTTCATAAAAAACAAAAAATAATATTTTTCTGGTTGCTAGATAATAAAATTTCCTACTGATTAGGTATTTTATGATAGTACTGTGTATACTGTATTAGATTTCATCACTATTGTGAAACTTTATTATTAAACAAAGCACATGCACATTCTTATAAGAAAATAGCTCGGAAAATAGTGTGATACATGTTTATATTGCTGAAAAATTACTATATGGAAATAAATAACACATAATTATGTCTATAGGGAAAAAAGTGTTATTTTGACTTGAAAAATGAGTCCCAGAAATTTTTATAAATATACAGTACCTATTGTATATTAATATGTTAGTTCTAACAGATTAAGTATAGGATTGGTGGGGATGTAGCTGATATTGGACTCAAAAGAAAACTCTTATTACCTGCATCCCAACAAATCCTATACTCAACATATTGATTGAGACAACTACTAATATAATTGAACATACTTATAATATATATATGCTGTACAATGTGAGAACTTTGAGTTCTTCAAAGAGTTCTCTACAACTAGTCCTTATGTCAGTGGTTTCAATAATAGGTAACACATATTTTTGTAAAATAAACATTGTTTGCTGTGGCACTATTCCCCCAGGTAAGTATTCCATATCTTATACTGGAGTGAAAGTTGGCATAATATAAACTTACCAGTTTTGTTAACTACAGTGATATTTCATATATTTGATGCTGTAGTAAGCACCATTTAGTTTTTTGCATAATTGGAAAGCTGGTGAGATTCATCTATAATATCAGCAGAAGCCTCATCTTGTTTTGGTATTTCCTTTCTAAATTCACAATTGAATTACATTCAATTTTATAGTACAACTTGGAAAACTAATTTCTTGAATGAAAATTCTAAAGGAAAGATCAGAAGACACTTGCAAATCAGTATGGAAGAATAATTACTTATACCTGAGCTTATACTCTTCCTGAAAAATTAATGAGGAAATGCAGGAAATAAAAATGAATTTAATGAAATCAAATTGAGGGTATTATAAAAGTTAATAGCCGGGAAAATAATATTAATGGGTATTTATTGAAGGACATGTAAAGAAATTATTGGCATGGATGAATTTTATAGAAATAAGAGGAAATGGGAGGAATTTAAGAAGATATTAATAAGAATTGATAGGAAATGTATGGAAAATTGGTGACATTTCAAGTAAAGGAAACATATCATTTATCATTTTCTTGAAAAGATTGAAGAAGAATTACCATATCTTGAAGGAATAAGAGAAATAAATAGGAAATCAATGTGAATTCAAGTGACAAAAAATGAAATGAGAATTAGTTGAAATGGAATTAATTGGAATTAGATATGAGACAACATAAATAGAAAGAAGATGAGTTAAGAAGTCAGGAATGAGAAGAAATTATTGGAATTAGAGCAAATAAGAAGGAATTATTAGAAATAAGACAAATTGGAAAGAAATAAATGAGTTCTGAGAGGAAATTTTTTTTTATCGCTTGGAGTGCACGAAAGGGAATCCCTATAATGTTCAACTGAACTGGAAGAAAATAAGTAGAAAATGGAAATTAGAGGAATTGATAAATAAAGGGAAATTAGATGGATTGAAAGGAAATAAAAGAAAATAAGAGCCACTGTGAGGAAATGAGTGAGAAACAGAGGAATTGAAATGAAATGAATGGAAATTATTGTTTGGTCATCTAATTCCTGCCAATTTCTCTTATACTTCATTCCTAGTAATTTTCTTCCTTGCCTATGATTTATATTTTATTTCTCATGATCTCTTTCAATTACTGGCAATTACTCAAAATTCCTTCAATTCTCACTCATTTTTGCATGTTTTTATAACTCCTTTTAAAGGGATCCTTTGTGGCACCTCTAGTGATACTATGTCATAATGAGGCCTCAGAATATATTTTCAAAACAGAAAAACTGCTCTCTATTTGTTCAATGAAAATATAGGACACATTTCTGTGTTGAGCATCAACATTACATAACCATTACTTTAAATAACATGATGGCAGATGAAGCAATTTATTAAATTCTAACCTAAAGGTTTTACCTCTTTTAACATCATCCCTTTTCAACCCCCTTATCAGTGCTCCTAATTGATCTCCAGCTTGTGCCTCCTCCAAAATCTTGTGGAACATTTCCACCCCAGTCACCACAGTCTTCAATACCTTATTATACCCTACAATTTCACAATCTGCACCCTTTTTGAGCACCCCCCTCTCCAGTCTGCCAGTCACTACTGTCCCTCTACCAGGAATGGAATAAGTGTTCTCAACAGGCAGCAGGAAAGGCTTGTCCAGTTCCCGAACAGGTGTGGGAATATAAGAATCCACTTCTGCTAAAAGTTTGAGGATAGCCTCTGAACCAATTTCAGGGTTCTTGCCCTCTAAAGCACAAAGTGCAGATCCAGAAACAATGGGGATATTATCCCCATCAAAGCCCATTTCAGTGAGGAGTTCCCTGATCTCCATTTCCACCAGTTCCACCATTTCTTTGTCTGCTGCATCAACTTTGTTGATGAACACTACCAAGTGGGTGACACCAATTTGCTTGGCAAGGAGCAGGTGCTCCCTGGTTTGAGGCATCACCCCATCTGTTGCAGCTACTACCATGATAGCGCCGTCCATTTGGGCGGCTCCGGTGATCATGTTTTTTATGTAATCGGCATGGCCAGGGCAATCAGTGTGGCCATAATGTCTGTTTTCGGTTTGATACTCAATGTGAGCAACATTTATGGTGATACCTCGAGCTTTTTCTTCAGGGGCATTGTCGATGTCTTGGTATAGTCGAGCGAGGGCTAGTTTTTGCTCAGAGAGGACTTTGGTGATGGCAGCAGTTAGAGTGGTTTTGCCATGATCCACATGACCTATTGTGCCTACATTGCAATGAGGTTTGGTTCGTTCGAATACCTGCTTCTCGGCATAGAATCGTTTTTGTCTATATTGTGGGACTACTTGTAGGGTTTTGGCGAAGTTTTGGAGCTGTCGAATAGACCCCTTTTTTATCAGCTGTTTTAATGAGCGATGGAATGCTAAAATATAGGTAATATTCTTATTATTCTTGAAAAGATTCATGTTTATTAATGGGTACCTGGGGCGAGGGCTCTAGCAACTATTATCGAAGTCATCTCAGATGTATGACAATTTCAGAATTTTCCTTTCTCTAATTTTTCAGCTCTGAAAATTCCAGCATGGAGCTTGAATGCAAGCAAGAGGAAGTCATAAAATCAAAATTCGTCAAATTCCTCAAAGTCAAGAAAGTCAAACGTCAAACGCGAAAAGAGCAATGTTGCCGCTAGTACGAGTATTTCGCAACGGACCGTTGAAATGCGAGAATTGACCAGCCCCGGGGTTCATCGCGAGAAAGAGAAGGACGTATAACTCGCTCTCGCTCAGATGAACCTTTTTTCTTGAAGAAGGAGAATTTTTCTTGAGGAAGGAAAATATTGTTTCTGCATAAAAAATGAGAAAACCTAACCTATCTATTTTATGAGTATATCTGTACTTGTTTCGTTGACCTGTGTAAAACGTAATGTTTATTAACACCAAATAAAATATTCTATTCTATTCTAACCTAACCTAACCTAACCGAACCTCACCTCTGGCCTAAACCACAAACATAGAAAACCCCTAAATGAACCTATTCCCCATAGAGAATATTTTTTAGAAATCACTTGAGAACAAGAAAAAAATAAAAAAAAGATGAGCCTCGCACGGATTTGAACCCCGGCCCGCCGGCTTGGCATGCCGATGCTCTGCCTACTGAGCCAACCAGTTGCTTACGAGACGAAGTATGATGAAGTACTGTGCTTCGGCTATGTGCCAAATGCATTCTCGCGAGTGAGAGGGCATTATATGTCCTTCTCTCTCCCGCGATAAACCCCGGGGCTTGTCAATTCTCGCCGTTGAAATATGGGGTATGTTCCCTTTCCTTGGGTTAACATAGGGTCCCTTGATGCAAACTGACGTATTTGTCATTTAACAGGGTACGGACAGATCCTCGTCTCCTCTCACTCTAAAGTGTTTGTGAAACAGTTATATAGTTCCATCCTTATTCAATTCTAGGGTTAAACACTAGATTTTTGAAATTTGGTATTTTTTAGGTCATTGGCGTATCATACGTAATTTCCATATGGAATTCCTGATTCAACTATACCAAGATCTAGATGATCAATCCTCTAGTTTTAGAGTTTTAGCAGCATTAATCTTTGCGAGGTAGGGAACATACAAATTGTAGTGAAAGCTTAATATATTTCACCAAAAGAGACTGCTCTTAGACTGTATAGCATCAGGGTTTACTGAATTGACTGAATGAATGCTGATTTCAAGCTGAGCCGTAGTTTTCCTATGAGCTGAATGAACTGAGCCTTATGAATGGGAAATGGTGAAAACCTCGATGTGGGTATCTAAACTACTGTACTCATGTCATGTGTGCTGAATATATTTTCGGAAATCCAACTCGGAGAAGAATTTATGGAGTGACTAATATCATACTATGTATAAAATTATTCAATCGTAAAATCTTTTTATTTTCTTGAAGTTAATAATCATCAACATCCAGAAATCATTTGACACTGTCAATATTTTCTTTTCTCAACAATATACACATTTAATTGGGAACGAATGAAAAATATCATTACTTGATTACTATAGTTGACTTGGTAAACGTTGTTTTGCTATGCACAATATTTCTAGAGAATACTCTTTCAGTTTAATATTTACCAGCACACTTTATTCCGTTCATTATCTACTTCATTTTATACTCCTTTTCAGCTCGGCAACCTATGTTTTCAGTTTTTTAAACTTCTATTCATTTTCTGCTATCTAAGAACGCGTGTTTAATTGATTTTTCACACAACTATTCGTTACAAAGCTCGTTCAACATTCACCTTCCAATTTTGAATAGAATAGGATCATAATTACAAAACTCGTTCGCCATATGAACTTCCTCAAGAAGTAAATACCCTGTACATACTTTACATACATTATTAAAATTTTTGATGACTCTCTGTAGCGCCCATGGATGTGACGTGACAGCAATTTCAAGGATGCCAGTAGACAAAACTAAAGTCCCTAGATCATTAAAAAAGAATGCAGCTATGATCTGTCCGTACCCTGTTAAGATGACTTTAACGTCAATTTCCATCAAGGGACCCTAGGTTAACAGAATGGTTCACCGAAAATGGTAGAGCAGAGTGGTAACCAGCGGTTGACAGGTATGCCTGATAAATTCGGATATACGAAACGCAGGTGTGTAGTCACTTGTCAAAATAATGTTTCACGGGTGGGGGAGTGGGAGGTTATACATTTATCATTTATTTTTGTGAGAGTGGAAGATTGTTCATCAGAGAATAATTATTTACCTATTTTATGCGTACTTCCATATTTTTCTCCATTCCAGGATTTTCAAACATCCAACATTCAACCCTCAATTCAACCCAAATTATTGTCAGTTGTCATACTTTTTATACTTACCGAGATACCGATGATTTTTGACTAGTTCATTCTTTCAGGAATCGTGTTCCGTAATTAGCCAGTTTTCAGCCGGTTAATGAGGTGACCGGTATATACGGTACGGCAAACCACATTCAACTTTGGAAACGGACATACTCATGATGATTCCAATTACGAAAGCACCCTGGTGTCACGCACACTTTTCTTTTTTTGGAAACTCATTATAATGACTTTTTTCTCATTATAATGAGTTTTTTCTCATTAAATTGACTTTTTTTTCATTATAATGACTTTTTTCTCATTATAATGAGTTTTTTCTCATTAAAATGAATTTTTTCTCATTATAATGACTTTTTTCTCATTATATAGGTATAATGACTTTATTATTATTCGCCTTTATATTTTCTGTGTAAACATGATTTCTTTGGTTGAAATTATCATTATTAATTAGATTTCTTATGATTTATATCAAAATGGATGTGGTGGCCAATTATATTGCATACTACTTTTTATTGGGTCTTAGTTGCGAAGAAATTATGGCTTTCGCTGACGGTATATCATAAACAGTGTATAAGTTTATCAACAGTTAAACGAATATTGAAGATAATGGGCTTCTACAGAAAGAAATATTTTACTCCCTTACCAGAAGTTTTGAATTTTATAGCCGAACAAGTTGAGAAGTACGGACAGTTACACGGCTATCGATGGATGCATTTGAAATGCATCCAGCAAGGATTTGTAATTACGAATAGAAGTGTGAGAATTATATTGAAAGAATTGGACCCTATTGGTGTTAGTCTTAGAAGCAGGAGAAGACTCCGAAGAAAGAAAGTAAATTCATTATAATGAGAAAAAACTCATTTTCATGAGAAAAAACTCATTATAATGAAAAAAAAGTCAATATAATGAGAAAAAAGTCAATATAATGAGAAAAAACTCATTATAATGAGAAAAAAGTCATTATAATGAGTTTTCAAAAAAAGAAAAGTGTGCGTGACACCAGGGTGCTTTCGTATCCAATACATACAAAAATTTCCCAGAAGCTGAATGTGAATCGCTGAACTCTAAACATCCTGATTCGTATAAGTCGTTCAAAGTTAGAATTCTAGAAGAAAATTTTAAAAAATCGATGAACCCGAAATTGTGGCCATATGGTTCCTGCATTTCCCGTTTTTTAGACTTCAGCAAGAGAAGAAACCAAAGGATGAAAGATTGAGAAACTCACCAGACTCTATTTTCAAACCCAGTCTGCTCTTAGTGAATGTTAGATATTTTATGCATAGTCGAAACAGGTTTGAAGGAAGAGGAAGTGAACTTTTGTCATATAGAAGGTTACAAATTGATAAACAATTATTGTAGACCGATTAAAAAATGTGGAGGACTAGGTATCTGGGTAAAAGATGAAATAAATGCGAAAAAGGAGACAGTTAACGTTTCTGCCATAGAACAAGATTTCGAATATTGTATTATATCGATGAAAACAAATAATACCAAAACAATTTTTTTGAATGTATACAGGTCACCATCTGGAAATGTCTCAACATTTTTTGATAAACTGACGGAGGTTTTGAATTTGTTATTCAAACCAAAAATGAGAATTTTATTATGTGGGGATTTCAATTTAGATTCGTATAAGAATGATGACTATAAGAAATTATGTAGAATACTGAAAAGCTTCAACCTAACGCCTTTAGTCGGATGGCCAACTAGAGTGACACAGTACACTTGTACAATGATTGACCACATTTTTATCAATTTCAGTAATGAAGGTCTATGTTGTGTTTTCGATAATTGTATAGCTGATCATCGTTCTGTTTATTTGGAATTAGATGAAAATAGCATTGTAAGCAGCAAATCTAAGTATCGTAGGAGTTTCAATGCAGTTAATGTTGAACGATTTGAAAAGGTTTTGGTTGAGGAGGACTGGGAGCCTCTATACTGTATCGAAGACTTGAATTCAGCTTTTGAGTATTTCTATTCAATTATCCTGTATTACTTCAATCTTTACTTTCCTGAAAGGAAATATTACAGTAAACGTAAACCTAACAAGAAATGGGTAAATGATGAGGTCATAAGATCAAGCACTAATCTTAAAGACCTGAGCTTTTTATGTAAAAGATATCCTGTTCTTGAACCAGCTTATCGAGAATCAAAAAGAAGACACACTGATCTGATATCCAAAGTAAAAAAAGAATATTACCAAAATAAAATATTCAATTCAAGCAATCCATCTAGAACTGCTTGGAAAGTGATAGATGAAATATCAAATAAAAATAAAAAACACGTAAACCTAGAAATAAGGGTAGAGGATCAAGAAATACATGATCCCCATTTGATTGCCTCATCTTTCAACGGGTTTTTTACAGATGCTCCGAAAAAAATAATTGAAAACTTGACAAACAAAAATAAAACTCATGTAATAGATTGTAGAGTTATCCGATATGATTCCTTTTTCTTAACCCCTTATGGAGAAGATGAATTGGAAAAACTTCTTAAAAATAAATTGAAAAATAAAAGTTCATCAGGCTCTGATGATATACCTATGTTTTTAGTGAAAAAAATAATACCCTTTGTAAAAAAGCCACTTACTCACCTGGTGAATTTATCATTCACTTCAGGCACGTTTCCGACCTGTTTGAAAGTGGGAAAAATTATTCCAATATTTAAAAAAAAGGATCAATTATTACTTGAAAACTATAGACCAGTAACGGTCCCTCTCTCAGTCTCCAAAATTTTTGAATATGCCTTTTTATCACGTCTTGATGATTTCTTAGAAAAATTCAAAATATTAACAGAAAAACAACATGGATTTCGTGCAGGACAATCTATTGATACCGCAATTCACTCCTTTTATAGTCAGATTATCAAATGTATTGAGGCCGCCGAGTGTCCTGTTGGGATTTTCTGTGATCTCAGCAGGGCATTCGACTGTGTCAATCATGATACTTTACTATCAAAGCTGTATGACTCTGGAATAAGAGGGCAGCCTCTAAGCTGGATATCATCTTTCTTGAAGTATAGAAAACAATTTGTCCAAATACAATATACAGATCTGACTGAAATTAAAAAATATAATTCAGACTATTCTTCAGTGGAATCGGGTGTTCCACAAGGTTCAGTGCTGGGACCTTGCCTATTTTTGCTGTATGTAAATAGCCTTGATTTATTTCTGAAAAATCAGTTTTTCACAATGTATGCAGATGATTTATCGTTAATTATCTCAAATCCGTCAGCAATAAATATTAGAACAGATATTACAAATTTATTAGAAAATACACGTGAATGGTTTGAGGAACATCAATTATTTTTCAATGCTGAAAAAACTCAATTAGCGACATTTCATAACAGACAAAAAGTATGTGATCCACTAAATATATCTATTAACAACTGTATGGTACGAGATAGTGTAGAGGCGATCAGTTTTTTGGGAATCAAGATTGATCCAACTCTCACTTGGAAACCACAATGTGAAACATTGATATCAAAACTTAATTCAATCCATTACCTTTTCAAAAATGTTAAATGTGTTCTAAATAGAGGACAAATGATGAATTTGTATTATGCACAAGTAGACTCCCGCATTAGATTTGGTATTTGTCTTTGGGGTAACTCCACTCTAGCAGCAGATGTGTTTATTTCACAAAAGCGCATTATCCGATGTATTGCTGGAGTGAAATATACTCATTCTTGTAGAAACATTTTTACAGAGTTTAGGGTATTAACGCTTACTTCTTTATATATTTTGGAAATGTCTATATACATTTTTAAAAATAGAAATAGCTTCAAACTGAATAAAGATATGCATTCAATGAATACCAGGAATAAAAATAATTTCAGTGTGCCATTTGCAAAAATGGGTATAAGCTATAACTCACCCGAATACATGGGGTTGCGTATTTTTAATAAGTTACCTGACACGATTAAAAATATTGTCAGCTTTACCAAGTTCAGGAAAACTCTCAAGGAATTTTTAATAGATAAGTGCTTCTACCATCTGTCAGAGTACTTTGAATAATTTGTCAATTCGTCTTTAATATTACCCAGTGTTTATATACTTAGTTTGTGATATATTTTTTTAAAGCTATATATGTGTTAGTATTCGTTTATATATGTATGTATACATCTTTTTGTGTATATTTATATATTTGACTATTGCTGTATTACAAAACTGTAATCTTTGGCAAAATAAATGATATCTATCTATCTATCTATCTATCTACATAGAGTTTTACGCTGAAAAATTGGTTCTGTTTTCTGGTCATCAGTTATTATCTCAGACAGAGGCAAAATATTCTCATAAATAATGATGCTCTGACACTAACTTAGATTAGGGTCCCTTGATGTAGGGTCCCTTTATGCAAACTGACGTATTTGTCATCTTAACAGGGTACGGACAAATAGGAACACGGCAATGCATTTGTAATTCCCTTCTCCTCTGTGTTCAAGTTCTGTGACAAATCCTCGTCTCCTCTCACTCTAAAGTGTTTGTGAAACAGTTATATAGTTCCATCCTTATTCAATTCTGGGGATAAACACTAGATTTTTGACATTCGTTGTTTTTTAGGTTATATTGAGGTCACTGGCGTATCATACGTAATTTCCATATTGAATTCCTGATTCAACTATACCAAGATATAGATGAACAATAGAACAATTCTCTAGTTTTAGAGTTTACTACTCCAGCATAATCTTTGCGATTTAGGGATCATATACATTGTACTGAAAGCTTGATATATTTCACCTAATTTCACCAAAAAAGACTGTTCTTAGACTGTATACCAGGATTGACTGAATTGACTGAATGAATTCAGATTTCAAGCTAAGCAGTAGTTTATCTATGTGCTGAAGGAGCTGAGCCTTATGATCGAGAAATGGTGGAAACCTCGATGTGGGTATCTAGACTAATGTACTAATGTTGTTTTCAGCAACACAAAAACACATCTCATATACAGCACCCAAAATCATAAATATACTACCACAAAATTTTAAGAATAGACAATTCAAAAGTATAGCCAAGGATTTATCAGAATGGATCTGCCAGAGGTATACATTCCTTTGCCAGCATCTTCAACTACTAGTATAGTTGTATACTATTATTATCATACCCAGATGAAATTGTAGACTTGTGATGTTGTAGAACATTTCAAATCCGTCGGAATTCTTCAAAAATTGCTAGGAATAATAAAATAATAATATAAATTGTACATGGTACCTAAAACATGAAAATTTATTATTGGAATGTGCTCACACAAATCCTTCAAGGATTTATCGGGCACTGTTTTTGTCCGGTGTCATTGTTCTTAATGAACAATGTTTCTTATGGTTTATATTGTTAAGTAGGAGGATTTTCAGAATTAATATGCACTATTTTCAAATGTAAAATGTAAACATTGAATTCAAATGTAAAAATGTAAATGTAAATGTAAACATTAAATGTAAACATTACTTCATGAATGATCTTATACCAGGAATTACTGTCTGATCATTCATGTCATTCCTACTAGAAAATTAATTATACTTTATATATTATTTGTATGAAATGTATCAATGAAGAAGAGAATGTAATGCAATAACTGAAAATAAATCTTGACTCATGTCATGTGTGCGAAATATTCAATTCCATCAAGGGACCCTATGTTAAACCATAGATGGAACTTTGACAACAGTGTAGGAACTGTTGACGGCTGACACGAGTGACACATATTGACGATTTTCACGAAAGACAGTTATGTCATAAGTAGTTTAGTAGTTAACCTTCAATTCAAAGTTAAAAAACATTTTGCAATAAATAAAGCAGTAAAACATGTTTTCAAATTTATTGGTACCGACACCTTGTTTAGAATTGAACGATAATGAATGTTTTCCAAATGTGTCACCAAATTTTTGAGAAATATTATTCATGTAATATTATTAGTTATTATCAAAATGTGCAGTGTACAAAAAAATGACAGTGCGGGATGTTATTATACCTTCAAGGCGTTTGTTTATTCAAAAATCTCTCCAAATCATGATTCTAAAGTTCCTTTTCCTCGGAGTGGACATAGGATAGGGGCAGACTCATCCAATTTTTATTCATTCGGTGGTTACAACCCATTAGTGAGGGATGATGTGGAGCAAAATGATGATGACAATTTCTGGATACAATCTTATCCACTGTTTCAAGAATTATGGAAATTCAATTTTGCATCCAAGCAGTGGACAAAGTTTAATAACAGTGAAACCCTTCCCATGGAATTGGCATCCAATGCACTTATTCTACATGGAAATGTCTTGATGGTATATTATATTATCATAGTCATCTACTATCCCAAATTTCAAACTAATCATCTTTATTTGTAAATTATTTTAATCTTCACAATTTCTATTTCTCATTATTCATTAGTGTCCATAATCCTAGATCAAGTACCCATACATTGATATTATAATAATTCTTCTTACAAGTAGGTCATACTTCAAATTGTCTCAAGTTTACAAGTCTTATATAATATTTTGATTGCATATTTGAGAATGATGAATGGAAACACAAGGTCATGATAGTTATCCAATTATATACCTATTCAAAAGCAAGTCAAATGGTATTTCACAATAAGATGTTTTATTATTTACCTATATAAAATGATTCATTGTATTTTTCTGCTTTGATTGACTCTCATCACTTTTATCTGATTTATAAATGTAAATGTATTAGGACAACATTAGACCATAGACTATTCTGTAAGGTGTTCTGCATTTTCATGATACCTTAAGTTTTGAAATATCAGTAATTATAATTGACAAATTGGCAATAATTAATGAATTTACCAGAAATTGACCACTCTTCACAATACACACATATTTTTTCCTATTACCTCTGCAGTGTGCTGCAGTACATTCAAATTACTCAGCGTCCCTTGTTATTATACTGCAGTCCAAAAAGTGGACTATTTTTGTTTTATTCCTTTAATAGAAGCATCAATCAAATACCTTTCAATTTCATATTGAAAAATGATAAAATCATCAATAGAGACATGGTAATTTTCAAATGGTTAAAAATTTACCACCAGTAGAAACTGTTGCCATGATTCCTTAAGACAGGGGCAGACCATAGCAAAGTTGCCATGTGTTGTAACTTGTGACTTGTTTTATACCTTGTATGGTCTACAAAATTAATAAAGTTGATTGATTGATTGTGCTGAAATACAATTGGGAACTTCAGAAATATTAGTTATTCAATAATTCATAAATTCTCAATTTGGTATTAGTAATATTCTTCAATTAGCAATAGAAATTCAACTGTCCCAAAATGTTTTCTTATTAATTGTGCCTTTGTGAACCTGACAACATTGCACATGACTTGTGGGCGTGGTCTTGTCAGTTCTCAGCATTCAGCACAATGTTGTCAAGTCTCCAACATTTACATGATATTTTGTAATGGAGAATAACAAATATTCAGACATGCTGGTTGCTTGAAGAAGTCAAGAATGAACTATAATATCTCAATAATATCATGGGTTTCTCCTATTATGTTTTATTCAAAGACAGGACTCTAACATCTTTATGATAACATGATTTTAATTGATGACTTGACAACCTTACTTCATGAGTAGAAATGGAAGATCATCTGTAAAGATCATCAATAAAGAAACAGCATAAAATGAGCTCTGAAATTCAACAATTTTGAACAACACATAGACTCATTTATTACGTAAAAAAAGCAATGAGAAGTTTCATTTTTTTTTCTATGACCCCCCTAGGGAGCACTTTACTCTTGTGTTTTTTCATGAAATCTTGCAGATATTTTTTAGAATCAAATCATCTCAATTCCACCATAAATCGATTTATCTCATGAGAATAAACGATGAAAAGTCCGCAAGATTTTATGAAAAAACACAAAAGTAAAGTGCTCCCCAGGGGGGCTAGGAAAAAAATTCGAAAACTTTTCATCATGTATTTTCATGAGATAGATCGATTTATGGTGATATTGAGATGATCTGACTCTCAAAAATACCCAGTCCCAGTCGATTTTATGAAAAAACACAAGAGTTAAGTGCTTCCCAGGGGGGCTGGGGAAAAAATTCAAAAAGTTTCCATCGTGTATTTTCATGAGATAAATCGATTTATGGTAAAATTTAGATGATTTGACCCTCAAAAATACCCACTCCGCAAGATTTTATGAAAAAACACAAGAGTAAAGTGCTCCCCAGGGGGGCTAGGGAAGAAATTCAAAAAGTTTTCACTGTGTATTTTATGAGATAAATCGATTTATGGTGGAATTGAGATGATTTGACTCTTAAAAATAACCCAGCCCGCAAGATTTTATGAAAAAACACAAGAGTAAAGTGCTCCCCAGGGGGGTCATAGAAAAAAAACTGAAACTTCTCATCGTGTATATCGGTGAGCTGAATCCAGATATTCAATAAAAACATTGAAAAGATTGATGGAAATAACCAGTCCACAACATTTTCTTCCAGTCCGCAAATTATACACACCCCACTGTGGGGTAATTGAATGCCAATAAATTTATTATCAGGCCACTGGCCCAGTACAGCAGTACAGTATCATGCAGTAAATGCCTTGGTAAAAGCAGTACATCTGAAGTAGGTATAATGCTGTTCATCTGCAATACACTGCAGTTTAATATTGCAGGAAAATAAGAGCACTTGTCTTTAATAACATAACTAATTAATAGTAGAGAAATACCAAGGGAAATACCAGGAAATACAAACTGGTGGATTTATGCAGCCATCCTTATCACAAGTCTAAAGTTGTAAATCTTAAGTCATAAGTCTTAGGAAATGAAACATCATGAAACATTGATACTTGCATGAATCTTGTGAAACACCTAATAGTAATAATATAATTGCATTTCATAATACTCAAATTCAATAGATAACCCTCCAGATAAATTAACATAATGATCACATGAAGCTACATCTTTATTCAAAACCCAAGGAGAGAAAAATCCCAAAGAATCAAGTAAAATAAATCCAAACCTAGTTACCTATTTCCTATCTAATACAGTGTCTTTCAGAAGTATCGGACCGGTCTCATATTTCAGGAACGGCTTGAGAAAAATTCAATGGTGGCATCGGCAATGTTGCCAAGTTTACATTTTTTCAGATATTAGGAGTATCTTTATTTTTTCAAATGGAATACCCCATTTATTTTCATTGCAATTAATTAAGCGCCTCCTAATTACTTGAGTCCCTGAATATCAGATTCGCATTTAACGTGGTTTTCGAAATATGACAACATGGCATTTTCGTTCAAAAGTCTGGGAACCTGCTAATATTTTCAATACGGTTCAAGGAAAATTCATGAAATTTTATACAAGATGGTTTATGATGATGCCCGATTCAATGGTGATATCGGCAATATTGCCAAATCAACAGTTTTTCAGATATTTGAAGACATAAGTAATGAGGCGTCGCTGAATGTATGCAATGAAAACAAATAGGGTATTTCATTTGAAAAAATTGAGTTACCCTAAATATCTGAAAAACTGTTGATTTGGCAACATTGCCGATATCACCATTGAATCGGGCATCATCAACAACCATCCTGTCGAAGTTTTCATAAATTTTCTCTGAGCCGTATCTGAAATATGGGACCGTTCCAGAACTTTTTAACAAAAATGCTATATTTCGATAATCACGTTAATTACGAATCTGATATTCAGGGACTCAAGTAATTAGGAGGCGCTTAATTAATTGCAATAAAAATAAATGGGGTATTCCATTTGAAAAAATAAAGTTACTCCTTATATCTGAAAAACTGTAAACTTGGCAACATTGCCGATGCAACCATTGAATCGGACATCATCAATAATCACCCTGTAGAAAATTTCGTGAATTTTTCTCAAGTCGTTCCTGAAATATGAGACCGTTCCGATACTTTTGAAAGACACGGTATATAAAATTCTCCTGTCCTGGTCACGGTGTTAGTGGTCGAACTCCTCCTAAACAGCTCGACCGATGCGTATGAAATTGTTTGTGCGTATTCGGTAGGTATGAGAATCGGTCGTAATCTATTTATTAAATCGAAAATTCAATATGGCGGATCCAATATGGCGGACGAGTATTGTTATCCGATTTCATTCAAAATTGGTATTCGGGGGTTTTTGGGGTCGGAGATAATGATTCTTTCGTCAAATTTTGGAAATTCAAGATGGCGGATCCAATATGGCGGACGAGTTTTGTAATTATTGTCAAATTCCATTCAAAATTGGTATCTGGGGGTTTTCGAGGTCAGAGATTATGATTTTCGATCAAAATTAGGAAATTCAAAATGGCGGATCCAATATGGCGGACGAGTTTTGTAATTATGATCGAATTATATTATATTCAAAATTAGTATCTGATGGTTTTCGGGGTCGGAGATTATGGTGCGATCGTCAAAATTTGGAAATTCAAAATGACAGATCCAATATGGTGGATGAGTTTTGTAATTATGGTCAGATTCTATTCAAAATTGGTATCTGGAGGTTTTAGAGGACAAAGATATGGATCATTTGATGGCGGACGAGGTTTGTAATTATGGTCAAATTCAATTCAAAATTGGTATCGGTGGTTTTCGGGGTCGGAGACAATGATTCTTTTGTCAAAGTTTGGAAATTCAAGATGGCGGATCCAGTATGGCGGACGAGTTTTGTAACTATGACCCGATTCCATTCAAAATTTGTATCTGGGTGATTTTCGGGTCGGAGATTATGATTCTTTCATCAGAATTAGAAAAATGCAAGATGGAGGATTCAATATGGCGGACGAGTTTTGTAATTATGATCCGATTCTATTCAAAATTTGTATCTGGGGGTTTTTAGGGTCGGAGATTATGATTTTATTCTTTAGAATTAGGAAATTCCCAACAACATATAATCTCCAGAAGTTCAAAAAAAATTCCAATACCTACATCCTATCCCTATCCTCCCTAGGAATGCACGATGTTCTTTGAACATTATAGGGATTCCCTTTCGTGCGCTTCAAGCGATAAAAAAAATGTATATACCAAAACAACGTTTACCGGGTATCAGCTATTGCAATAAATATTAGTTTGAAAATATAATGAAACACATTTTTATATAAAGAATTCTATGGATAGCCAAACTAAAAAGGAGTAGAAATAAAATATTAAAAGTTTATTGATTAATATTCATCTGAATTTTTTTTTCTAGAAATGATTTGTATGGCAAAACAACGTTTGCCGGGTCAGCTAGTAGTAATAATATAATTGCATTACATAATAAGCTTGTTTCTGGTGATCCATTGATATATTGTTCCTGTTTTTGAATAAAAGGAATACAAAAAATAAAATTGCTATAGAATTGAGAAAATATGCACTGTCTGATGAGTGATTAATCAAAAACTCTGATCATAATAGTTGCATTCTTTAGACTATGACTTATGACTTGTGAAAAAATGTTCTGATATGAATCTGATCATTGAATTTTCTTATGACTCACTACATAATCTATATCTATACTACTATTTACTACAATTTTTACTGTAATATGACCACATATGCATTTTGTACCAAATCACCATATTGCACTGATTGATGAAATAATGGATTCTCATTACATTGATTACTCTGCTGCTCATTTGCCTTGTTACATTTATTAAATACAAAAAAAGTTATAATCAATCAAAATGATACTTTTGATTATTCCTCCAACACTGAATTTCTTGAATTTTTAAATAAGTAACAAGTGTTACAGGCTGCTACATGTTTTATCATCCTAACTTTCCTTGTATTCCAGATGAAGTAGAAATTCAACAGAATTTTATGTATTTTGTAGGTTTATGGGGGTACAGGTTCCCCATTCGGAATCAGATCTAGCAATCAACTTTATGTATGTAAAGTTAATGATGAAAATGGTATGATGGTTGAAGTGAACACCACTGGTCAATTACCTCTACCACTGTATGGTCAAGCTGTTGTGTTCCATAATGATTATCTGTATACTATAGGTGGTACCACTGGTTTAGCATACACATGTGATGTTCATAGGTAAATATCAATAACATTACTTCAATTAGGTACCTTAAGTAGAGTTTATTCAGCAATAAAAACAAAAATTACATGAAATAAGTAAGTTCATTAGGGACTTGCCATGGAAGACGCTTTTTCCACGCTTTAAGACGATTCATAGCGTGCCTGACGTTTTTCACACGTTTTTTCCACGACTTTCGACGTTTTGACGCATGCGTGAAGTTTTTACGTTTTTTCAACGTTACTCGATGTTTAGACGCATGCGTGCCTCTTTCTTGTCCTTTCACGTTTTTCGATTTTTTCACTTCTTTCACTTTTTTTTTGCGCTTTCCTATGTTTCTACGCAGATGTTTTAATTAATTTTTATTATATTTTTTGGAAACTCTTTAACGTTTTGACGCATGCGTGCCGGTTTGGATGGCGTTTGTGTGACGTTCTTTACGTGCTTTCAACGCTCTCCGACGTTCACGTTTTTTCGACGCTTTCTTGACATGTGTGACGGTTTTGGGACTTTTTCGGGACGTTCTTTTACATATTCGGACGTTTCGCCTCATGCATAACTTTCGTGCCGATTGCGTGACGTTTTCATGACGCTTTCGTGACGTTTTCATGACTTTTTCGAGCTCGTTTATTTAGAATGGGTAGAATAGGGAGACAACTCTGCAAAAACAGGATTATATTTGATAGAATAGGTTTATATCAGTTGATATGGTTCTACTCCGGTTCTACGAAACGTCACATAGAGAAATCAATATCACCTCATTGAATATCATCATGAGATGTAAAAGTATCTTGAGTTTTTCTATATCTCCGATAATAACGTAGAGAAAAGAATAGATTTTACAGAATCTCACTTTTTTGATATAAATGAAAAACTATATATAATTTTGAAAATTTTCGTCTGCTGTTGGAATTACCCACTGAATGCGCAAGTTTTTTCCTATTCAGGCTTTATTCCGAATTCAACTGACAGTACTGAATCTGCTGATTTTCCAATCCGAAATCAAAAAATTCACTGGAAGTGACAGATGCTTGTCAGCAGACATACTATTCATTCCAAATATTTCGACTCTTCATTCTGCTGGAATTGCTGAGTATCAAAAGGTAGTGTGGCTTCAGTGAACTGTCATATTTCAGAGAGGGAAGGAATGTAACAATGAAATCATTCTCAATATCAGAAAATACCTGTCAATATCAGAAAATACCTGGAGTATGAAGTAGTAAAGCAGGTAAGGAAAGGAGCAGCATTGGCTGAATAAACTAAATAAACCTGGAATGTCTCCTAAAATTCATCATCATCAAGGCATATTGCGATTTTCATGAATATCAATTCTAAATCTGGTGCATCATGAAAAATTTATGGCAACAAAATGTCCAAGTATTCTTCATCACTCGAGCTTGAATCGCCATCGTCAACAATCGTAGAAACTATAGAGGATACAAGAATCGATTTCTCTTTCATGTTAAATATTAAATTTCCAAAATTTATAACAAGTAGGAGGCCAAACATCTAGTTCAGATGAACGAGAAACTACTGCTGATGAAAACCATGAAAACGTGTCCCGAATTACAGCAGTGAATTTTTGATTTTATATTTCGGAACACAGATTTTCAGCAGAGTCAGTGGATCAACTGACAGTACTGACCAGTTGAATTCGGAATATAGCCTCAATCGAATTCGTAACTACTAGGGTTTCTGAGATCCCAATGCTGTGCCACCTCATCTTGGTCACACCATAAGAGATACAGTGTCGGTTGAATGATGGGTAAGTTGCGCAATCTTATGCCCAACAAAATTTGAAAAATTCCGAATACTTCAAGAATTTTTGGAGAAATTCGAATATTCCTGATTTCATTTTCATTTTTTATGACTCTACTTTTTCTGTTCTACAAGATGGTGTTATCATATTTTCAAACCAACGTTTCGTTTTTGAGCTGCCATCATCAACTTCGTTTTTTTAGATACGACCCTGGATTTTTTATCACGGATTTTGAGAGCTTTCAATCTCCTGGAAACAACGGGTGTATCGCCCTTGTTCGGAAAAAGGTTTTTTATCCTATTGAAAATCTATTCTCTGTCTCATATAAGTTCTTACAGGAAATGCAATTGATGAATTTTTCGAATAAGTGCGATACACCGTTGATTTTAGTAGATTGAAAGTTGGAATCATCTTTTTATAAAATGAAATTGAAGGGTTATTCACTTCTTAGAAAAAATACAAAACACGGCGGCGCTACTGACGTCACAATACAAGTACCATAACGCGCCGATCGTCACCAAGTTGCCAACCTGAAAACCTCTACCAATGTAGAAGCAACATTATGGAAGTTTTATTACTCAAATTGTTTCATTTCGGTGGAATCTGATTGTAGGAGTCTACTCTGCTCACGAATAGGAGTTATTCAGAAGAAACATTGATTATACTCAAGGCCTCCAATGCCAAACACTGTGCTGCTCGGATCTAAAACTAAGTATCAATTTGAAATTTCAATCGTGAGACGAACATGGAATGAAGAGCCTGCATATTGTTTTCAACATTCGTAACTGGAATGCGATATATTTTCGCAATTAATCAACTATCTCAATGAATATGAGTCAGGCAGATAAGCAACAATTTTCTCTGCGATGAAAAACACTGTATATACCTAACCCATCTAGCGTCTACCTCCTTTGCAGAGAGGGTTTATGAACGCAAAGTTGGTACTCTCCCCTCATAAGGGTACCTGTCGTGTTTCCATAGAGACATGAGGGTGAATATCTGTCTATCTGTTTGCTTGAGAATCTGGAAAAGAAATCAATATATCGCCATCCGCACGAACATGGTGGTCTGAATTCAGAGAAGTATACTCTGGTCATTTTTCTTTGTGGATCGTTCCTTCGGTTCGGCTTGACTGGATGGTTTTCTCGGATTTTGTGTCAAGTATCAAACACTGTGCTTCTCGGACCCAAATTACCTAAATATTTTTCTGCAACGTTCGTAGTTTGATTGCAAATCAATTGCGAATCAAATCAAATCCGGGTGATTTAAAAAATCGAATAAAATGTAGGGTGATCCATTGGAAAAAATTGTTGCGGTTGCCTTAACTCAAACGTGAATCACCCTGTATATGCAATTTTCCGTTTCGAATGTGGCAAATTGAAAATAAAAATCGACCTGTTTCAGGAGATTCCTCAGAAATGGATAGTTTGGCTTAATTAGTTATTAATGTACCAAGGACGAAAAACTGCCTATTATAGTCGAATCTGCAGTAATCAGGCGGGACAATAGACAGTTTTTCGCCGAGGTGCATATTACATTCTTTCGGCGACCTCAAACACTTAGTTTTTCGTGAATAATCAATCTGACAACAGCAGATGACAGTTGTTGTCAACTTACTCTCCGCGTGGACCAGTGTGTTGCCAGTTCGATTTTTATTTCATCAGTAAATATCTTGTAGAAAATTCAGGTTTATTTTATGCTATACGAATTCTAAGCAAGGATGATGAAATGAACCTATGACATGACGTCACAACATTATGTACATTTAGTATACAGAAAAGAATCCTATTTCCAACAAAATAGAAACAAACTAAAGAAAGATTCTCATAAAACATATTCTCAATTTAAAAATACTAACAAATATCACAAAATACAGTTACATTGGTAGTTTAGATTGATATTTGAGTACCTGTATAAAGAATCGGAACGTATAGTGAAAACGAAAAACAAGAATACAAAAAAATTTAAAAAATAAACGTTAGAAACAAACTGTTATAACAAAGGTATATAAATAATTGAATTTGATCTGAATCAGATGAAGTATTGTCCTTTTCTGATTCATGCATATTCATCATTAGTACCTATATGCACATTTATTACTTATTTTGTAAAATTGTAAAATTAATTTAAACAAGCCTGTCGAAATATCATGCAATTTATATGTACCTATATGTGATTACTAAAAATTAATAATAATATAGGTAATTATAATCATGAATAAGTGTCAAAATATCGTATCAGTAGGTTATGAAATGTTCCAGTAGATCAGTAGATCAATATGCAAATCAGGAAATTTACTGAAAATTCAGTAGAACTGGCAACCCTGCTGCGGACAAATAGTGTTTGCGTACGAAAAGTTAGTGTCTGCGAACGAAAAGTACTTGCCATCGGAAAAAGCCGGTTTTTCGTTCGGAAATTAGAACCTTAAATGTGATTTTTGTTGAGGTCGACGGAAAAAGAATTTATTGAGTACTCTGGGAAAGCAATGTATACTCATTTCTCAGTAAACAATCCGTGTATTTTTCAATGCCTATCACAAAATTCGACCGTACGTGATGACATCTAATATGATTCACCACTGGTCCCGAATGAATGACTTATAGGTTGATTCATGCTGCTAACCGATCGTTCATTTCGAAAACACTGGTACACAAATCAGTCAATTAATGTCGAATCGAATAAGTACTGTACTTATAAACTGAACAGGAAACCCGTATAACTGTTACTATGACTACAATAAACCACAAAAACTGCAGTAAAATACCAAAACTCTTCAATAATTTCAGATTCTCTAACCAAAAACTTTAAACGCAAAGCAAAACACTGAATAACTGAAACTAATCCGACTCTGTCTCAAGTCTACGTCAGACAAAATGACAGATGTACATTCTTACACAGTTGCCAGATGAACTAGTGAGAAATTAGAAGTTCATAACAATTAATCGATCTCTTGCCAGCCATTCGATCAATATCAGGAGTCTATGAATTTTGTCATGAAGATATTATATACAGAGAAGTGCAGAAAAAAAGGCCAGCATTGTAACTTTTGAATAATTCTATATAGGGTTTTGAAAATTGGTGGGTAGTAAGTATATCAAATTGCTCATTAATTGATGAAACAATTGTTCTCCTATCACTTCCAGTTTAACCGAAAACGACCCCAACTTTCGATTCTTAAATGGGACACCCTGTATTGTATTCCATAATCGGTTAGGGATTATCGTGACGAATTCAACGATACCAGATTTGATAGGGTTATTTCAAACGATTACAAAGATGTTTGCGTTCGAAGTTTCCATGTTCCTGTTCAATGGGTGTGACTTCGCAAAAACGAAACTTCTTTCTCTGTCACACTCATTGAGCAAATGGAAACTTAGAACGCGAATATCTACGTAAGCGTATGAAATAACCATATCAAACCCGGTATCGATGAATTCGTTATGACAATTCCTAACCGATTATGGAATACAATACAGGGTGTCCCATTTAAGAATCAAAAGTTGGGGTCGTTTCCAGTAAAACCTGAAGTAATGAAACAAAAATTGTTTGGTCAATTAATGAGCAATTTGGTAAACTAGTTGCCCACCAATTTTCAAAACCCTATCTCGATTAATTCGAAAGTTACAGTCCTGGCCGTTTTTTGTGCACTTCTCTGTATGATTTTTGTAAATCTGTTGATCATCAGTTACAAGAAGTATCATAACAAATATGAACAACATCCTAATGCATAAATATGAGATTTGTGTATAAAAATATATCTGACAATGTTGCCGACAATTACATTAGCCTTCTAGGACTTTGAGTTCTGTGGTCTAGATTAGTCTATAAGCCGGTGGTCTGCTCATGATTCACCCTGTAAATTCTCTTAGGTTGAACATCAAAACGATGCATTGGGAGATAGCGTACATCTGCAACGGCCAAGGTGAATACGAACCGAAGGGACGCTACAGACATGAGGTGGGTTTCGATGGCAAACGCATTTACGTACTCGGCGGAGGTACCACCGACGAAGCTTACAGCTTCAAGTTCGTACCGACTTTCGATGTGGAGAAGAATGTGTGGTTCAAGCAGAAAACTGTCAAGGACGGCAGACGAGGTGAGTTTTATTCATACAGGGTTTTCTATAAATAATGGTAACATCGTAGTAGCTGTTGAAATTATCAAGTGACAAAATTTTTCGCTTACATATTTTGCAGATAAACCTTTCAGTGGCGGCTCGTGACTTTTCATGACAGAGGAGGCTGAATGATATGAGATTTATTGTGGAAAACAACTCTCAACTCACCCAAATCGATAGCTTTAATGACATTCTGTTTACCAGTTAACCTGAACGTAACACTTGAAGAGATGTGTTCCTGTGATTTGCAGTGTCTATCCAATCCGCTAGGCAAATTTTTCAAATCATTATATCCTAATCGCCCCAACATGATGACTTATCGGTTGAAAATAATACGCAGTACCAACAAAATAGCTTATTCCTTTCCTCAGATCCCGTCAACCAGATATATTTTTTATAATTATCAGAATCGAAGGAACGATTTTGTTTGTTACCTGTTACAATCAGATTGTTTAATTCCAATGTCGGACGTTTGTTTTTCACAATCAATTTATCTTCATAAGACAAAGCACTGAATGGGTTCACCAAAAAGTATTCCACTAAATCGCAATCGTTTAAAACACTCATTTTTCAGAAATTTATAGAGCCCCTAACCATCAACCTAACATAAACATACACAATGCACTCGCGGTCGTCCGCAATTCGCGAAGCGACAAGACAAACACGTGCTATTCGGGCGTATTCGGGCATTCGCATTGTTAATAGATTTAACCAACTAGTGTATTAATGAGGGCGATTAATGATCGAGATATTTTAACATGCGAGCAAAGCGAGCGTGTTAATGTTCGAGATCATTAATCGCCTTTTAATATACAAGTTGGTTACAAAATTTTTCCGTCGACTATATTTCTCATTTCTCCTGCAATGAAGAAAACTTGGTTCGCGAATTCATCATTCATCTGGAAACTGCTAAAAATCACCCAGTAGCCTTGTCACTGACATTAGTGTCATTTGACATTTGTCGAAATGATCAACATAGAAAATAAATTCCTTGTGTTAGAAAAAAGGGATTAAAATCGTGTCAGAAACTTGGAAATGCGAACCCGTTAACGGAAAATCTTCAATGAAATCCATATTTTCGATTTAAATGCAGATTCCGTAAGTTATAGCATAAATAATGAATGCACGCGGTGTATGTTTGGTTGCCTATAAAACAATCGTGTATTAATAGACAAATCGTTCATTAATAGGGGTCATTAATGAACGATTTCATATACATTAAACTTAGTCGTTAATACGAGATCGACGGAAAACATATTTCTAATGCTAAACTTAACAGCTGATCGTCAACCGTTTAAACCGTTTAGAAGAATAATGCGTTTAAGAAAAAAGAATCCTGTATTCCTGAGTCAATATTTCATGTCCTTAGTCAAGTTAAAGCAAAACGTGTCTCTAATCATAGCGATTATAATGTATCTGATATTATAAAGTAAAGTATACGAGGCACGGTCAAAAAATCCATTTTTCAGAAAAAAAATTCTAGCACTATTTTGGTGAGACGTTACAGTTATATCTTAGGCTTCGAAAACGTATTTTGATTCTTGATAACTATCTCTTTGAAAAATGAATATTTTGACTGTGCCTAAATTTACTATAATTTATGTGATTGAAACTAGATATGTTTATGAGTTCCGATCAATACATTTTCTAGCTTACTTTATCTTATTTATACTTAAAAAACAGTGTTATTCTTTGTCAATCCTACACCGATACGACGTTTTAACGAAATTTGTCGGCTTATATCTCAGAAACTAGGCATTCAAAACTTTTTAAATTCACATAGTTTTCTAATGAGCCAGCTCATAACAACATTGTGAAATTTCAGTCAATTTGACCAAGAGCCAATTTTCCATGTTTTCGTGCGAGGTCCATTGATTTTACTAGGGAACGGGAAAAATATCCCGCAATACGTACATCCACTTTCATTTTTAACCAATATTGACGTTTCCCTGAAATCCAGTGAGAAAATTGTATGAAAACAATCAATTTTATAAAAAAAATTACCTGACATTATAAATTTATTTTACTAGGGAACGGGGAAAATAAAAAAATATCTCCCGCAATACCAATGTATCGACTTTCATTTTTATTCAATATTAACATTTCTCTGAAACCTAGTATGAAAATTGTATGAAAAAATTATTTTTACCTAATCATCCATCTGATATTATATATTTTAATTTTACTAGGGAACGGGGAAAATCAGAAAAAAATCTCTCTCTCTCCCAATACGATCATCCACTTTCATTGTAGTCAATATTGACATTTTCCTGAAACCTAGCAAGAACATTCTATGAAAATAATCAATTTCATTCAATTTTCCAAGTTATTCTTTTCATATTGAACACTTGTCCTCTAAAATCACGGAATGATGGAAGTAAGATATGGTGCGCGTATTCGGCCATTATTACGTATAGAAAATTTCAGAAAAATCACTCGACCGCCTACTATGATTTCTCTACGTCACAACGAGCGAGACGTTGATTCTACATTTTCCCGCTAGATGGTGATGCTGCTATTGCTGCTGTGACGACTGACGAGTGGAAATAAAATGGCAAATGGCATTCTAGGTACGCAGAACATATGTAACAGTGCTATTATTCAACTCTGAATTCGAAAAATTTGCGACAATTTCCAAACTATTAGGTGTCATAATTGTGCAATGTCGCCATCTATTAGAAGATCGACGGAACCATTGCTCTCGCTGTTCTCGAGAGGTCAAGTAAAATTTCTGAAACACAAGCGCATCAGTAATTACACCATATCTTACTTCCATCATTAATTGCAGCTAATTTTGCACCAGATTCTTCTTCTTCAATCCGATATAATATATTGCATTCGAATTTTTGGTATTCGATGGAGCTAAATTTCCATTTCGTTTCTATTCAACTATCTACTTGATGTTTTCTTTTTAAATATAACTCCGGTATGCGATTTTACTAAATATACTGCACGCTAGCACAAACCACGCCCACCATAATACGTCATATCTCCAAACATTACCGATATACTCGGAGTCAGCACATCGCACTAAATATACTGTGCTCCAACGCACGAATACACTTTTTATGATTTTGACACGAATTCGACTGAAGCTCTCTCGTTGTCAATCTCTTGTACGCAGTAAATTCATATACCCAAATGGTCTACTGGTTAGCGCTGTCGACTTTCAGTCTGAAGGTCCATGGTTCGAATCGCTGTGAACTTGAACTTTTTTTTGCAACTTTTTGTATTCACCAATGTTTTTTTACTTCATTCTGGTTTTCCTTTTCCATAAAATATTTGAAGTCAAATAGGTTAGTGCGTTTAGGATAAACAGTCTCATTTTATTCAATTTTGTTGAAGAACTCAACTTTTGAAATATATTATTGATCAATGTGTTTCTACACTCCATTCGGTTTTCCTTCCTCAAAAATATTGCAATCAGGGATAGGTTAGTTCGTTAAGGATAAATAGTTTCTGAGTTTTGCCTAAGTACTTCGAAGATGAGATATTACGGTGGGCGTGGTTTGTGCTAGCGTACAGTATATTTAGTAAAATCGCCTCCGGTATGAAATTTTCTTACCGAATCCCCCACGTGCTTGAATAAATTGCGGGAAATTTGTCTCGTTAAAAAAATTCCGGCAATAATAATTCATGTCCCAGGGGGATTATAAGTGATAACTTTCCCTCATGTAGGTTATCCAGCGGCGAGACGATGTCACGGAGCCGTCCAAATAACCAGCAACGACACCGTCCAAGTGTTCATAACGGGCGGCCATGACGGCGAAAACATCTTCAACGACCTGTGGCGGCTCGACCTCGCCACCAATCACTGGACGTGCTTCGTCACCTGTCAGTTGCCGCAGCCTACTTACTTCCACGCCACCGCCGTCACTCCCGAAGGGAAACTGTACGTTTTTGGGGGGAATTACAGTGTCAATGATGACGTCAGACGGAGTAATTCGGTTTATGCTACGTGGCTGTGCATTCCGAAGTTGAGCGAGATTTGTTGGGAGGCGGTGTTGTTTTATAGTCCGCATATAAACAGGTGTAAGAGTAGCGATTTGGTTGATATCGGGTTGCCTAGGCATTTCATTCAGAGGTTAGGTAACGTCGAGTCTGCTTGAGAAGTTTACTTTCAGTGCTGGATTAGTGATTAACTGATTCTTTTTCAACAATTATAGTGCGGTGACGTAATAGGGTATGCCCCTGAAATAGAGAAGTTTGGCTAGCTTTGAGAGAGGAAATGTATATCTCCCCCATGCTGTCCTTTTCTTCAGTGTTCCAATGGTAAGAAATTCTAACCTTTTTTATTTCAAGGTTAATATGTTTTCTTATTTCCAGTGTTGCTAACGTAAAATTTTCATTATTTTACGTCGGAACACTGAAGACAAGGACATATGGGAAATACATGTTTTCTATTCCTCAAATCTGGATGAACTTCTCTAATCCATTTGTTTTTGAAAATGGAAATTTGTAATTTGAACCTTCGCAGTAGTACACAAGTATACGTTTTTCAATAATAATTGAACTCTGAGATTGCCCTTTTGGTTTCAACGTAAGCAGATCAATTGTTTGTTTATCAAATGGGACTTCCCTGAAAGAACTATAAATTTGGAGTTTTGATTCTCGGAAGTTGCGAAGTCGATTGAAAATGGTGAAAAGATGGTCAATCATTCTTCAGCCACAAAGTGTGCCATGGGAAACATACTTGAACCATATAAATCTACAAACAAGTCTGACGAACTGTCACACTTCAACATACATTTCCGAATTCGTAATTCCACATATTGCATAAAAAATATCATGAAACTAATTAATTGTGCTAAATCAATTATAGCTCGTTCCTTTTGAATTGAAGTTTCAAATTTTTAGGTTACGATATGAAATGTCTCATGATATTTGTACATTCGTGCTAGAATCTCGGAATAATGTTGGAAAATGACAAAGTTACAAGGTAATATTACTCCCGAGGGGAAAACTGTACGTTTTTGGGGGGAATTACAGTGTCAATGATGACGTCAGACGGAGTAATTCGGTTTATGCCGCGTGGCTGTGCATTCCGAAGTTGAGCGAGATTTGTTGGGAGGCGGTGTTGTTTTATAGTCCGCATATAAACAGGTGTAAGAGTAGCGATTTGGTTGATATCGGGTTGCCTAGGCATTTCATTCAGAGGTTAGGTAACGTCGAGTCTGCTTGAGAAGTTTACTGTCAGTGCTGGATTCGTGATTAACTGATTCTTTTTCAACAATTATAGTGCGGTGACGCGGCAGGGTGTGCCCCTGAAATGGAGAAGTTCGGCTAGTATTGAGAGAGAAAACATATAACTTCCCCATTCTGTCATTGTCTTCAGTGTTCCAATGCTAAGAAATTCTAACCTTGTTTGTTCCAAGGTTAATATAATCTTCTCCATGTCTTCTTATTTCCAGTGTTGCCAACGTAAAATTTTCATTAATTTACGTCGTAACACTGAAGACAAGGACATATGGGAAATACATTTTTTCTATTCCTCAAAGCTGGCTGAACTTCTCTAACCAATTGTTTTTGAAGATGGAAATTTGTAATTTGAACCTTCGCAGTAGTACACAAGTATACGTTTTTCAATAATAATTGAACTCTGAGATTGCCCTTTTGGTTTCAACGTAAGCGGATCTATTGTTTGTTTTTCAAATGGGGATTCCCATAAAGATCTATAAATTTGGAGTTTTGTTTCTCGGAAGTTGCGAAGTCGATTGAAAATGGTGAAGAGATGATCAATTATTGTTCAGCCACAAAGTGTGCCATGGGAAACATACTTGAACCATATAAATATACAAACAAGTCTGATGAACTGTAACACTTCAACACAAAGTTCCGAATTCTTAATTTCACATATTTCATAGAAAATATCTTGAGACGAATTAATTGTAATAAATCGAGCATAGCTCGTTCACTTTGAATTAAAGTTTGAAATTTTCAGGTTACGATATGAATTGTTGAACATTCGTGCTAGAATCTCGGAATAATATTGAAAAATGACAAAGTTACAACAAGGTAATATCACTCCCAAAGGGAAACTGTTCATGTTTGGTGGGAATTACAGTGTCGATTATGACGTCAGACAGATTCGTGATTAACTGATTCTTTTTCAACAATTATAGTGCGGTGACGTAACAGGGTATGCCCCTGAAATAGAGAAGTTCGGCTAGCTTTGAGAGAGAAAAATTATATCTCCCCCATGCTGTCCTTTCCTTCAGTGTTCCAATGGTAAGAAATTCTAATCTTTTTTTATATTAAAGTTACTATGATCTTCTTATCCATTTCTTCTTATTTCCAGTGTTGTCAACATAAAATTTTCATTATTTTACGTCGGAACACTGGAGACAAGGACATATGGAAAATACATTTTTTCTATTCCTCAAAGCTAGCTGAACTTCTCTAATCCATTTGTGTTTGGAGATAGAAATTTGTAATTTGAACCTTTGCAGTAGTACACAAGTATACGTTTTTCAATAATAATTGAACTCTGAGATTGCCCTTTTGGTTTCAACGTAAGCGGATCTATTGTTTGTTTTTCAAATGAGACTTCCCAGAAAGAACTACAAATTTGAAGTTTTGATTCCCGGAAGTTGCGAAGTCGATTTGAAAATGGTGAAAAGATGGTCAATTATTGTTCAGCCACAAAGTGTGCCATGGGAAACATACTTGAACCATATAAATATACAAACAAGTCTGACGAACTGTCACACTTCAACACAAAGTTCCGAATTCTTAATTTCACATATTTCATAGAAAATATCTTGAGACGATTTAATTGTGATAGATCGATTATAGCTCGTTCCTTTTGAATTGAAGTTTGAAATTTTTAGGTTACGATATGAAATATTGATTATTCGTGCTAGAATCTCGGAATAATATTGAAAAATGACAAAGTTACGAGGTAATATCACTCCCGAAGGGAAACTGTACATGTTTGGTGGGAATTACAGTGTCGATTATGACGTCAGACGGAGAGATTTTAGTAGGCTGTGTTGTTTTATAGTCCACATATAAACAGGTGTAAGAGTAGCGATTTGGTTGATATCGAGTTGCCTAGGCATTTCATTCAGAGGTTAGGTAACGTTGAGTATGCTTGAGAAGCTTTCTGTTAGTGCTCGATTAATTATTGATGCCCCTGAAATAGAAAAGTTCAGCTAGCGTTGAGAGAGAAAAAAATATATCTCCCTCATTCTGTCCTTGTCTTCAGTATTCCAATGGTAAGAAATTCTAACTATTTTCATATTATGGCTAATATGATCTTCTTCTCCATTTCTTCTTGTTCCCAGTGTTCTCAACATAAAATTTTCATTATTTTACTTCGGAACACTGAAGACAAGGACATATGGGAAATACATTTTTTCTATTCCTCAAAGCTGGCTGAACTCCTCTAATCCATTTGTTTTTGAAGATGGAAATTTGTAATTCGAACCTTCACAGTAGTACACAAGTATACGTTTTTCAATAATAATTGAACTCTGAGATTGCCCTTTTGGTTTCAACATAAGCGGATCTATTGTTTGTTTTTCCGATGGGACTTCCCAGAAAGAACTATAAATTTGAAGTTTTGATTCTCGGAAGTTGCGAATAAGATTGAAAATGGTGAAAAAATGGTCAATTATTGTTCAGCCACAAAGTGCGCCATCGGAAACATACTTGAAATATATAAATCTACAAACAAGTCTGACGAACTGTCACACTTCAAACGAAGTTCCGAATTCGTAATTCCACATATTTCATAAAAAATATCATGAAACGAATAAATTGTGATAAATCAATTATAGCTCGTTCCTTTTGAATTAAAGTTTCAAATTTTCAGGTTACGATATGAAATGTCTCATGATATTTGAACATTCGTGCTTGAATCTCGGAATAATATTGAAAGATGACAAAGTTACAAGCTAATATCACTTCCGAAGGGAAACTGTTCATGTTTGGTGGGAATTAGTATCGATTATGACGTCAGACGGAGAGATTTGTTGAAAGGCGGTGTTGTTTTATTCGCGAGATTCACGAAGTGGGCGACATCTAGATTGCATATTACGAACTTCAAACTGGGGGAAAACAAACTGTTGTCTATGGATAAAGTGCATAGACTACATCGCATTCGACTTGCTGTAGCTGTAGTCAAACTTGTCAAGAACATAAAGTGTTGGCACTGTTGGTAGTGATGATGGTTGAGTTGGTTAATTTTTTTACATTATTACATTTTTATCAGTTTAGTGAACAGTAAACGGGTGAAGAATTGGAGATAGTTCAACTGGTACTGGTACTGGTACTGGTGGGGGACGTTTCCACGTCAGCAACTAGTCCCCAATGGGACCTTTTTGCAAACCCCAAGTGTTTTCGATGACTGATGTGGTTCGCTCAAGAGAGCTGGCTAACATCCTTTTCAGGCACCGCCCATCAGCTCTCTTTCAGAGTTTTTCGGCTGTGTTTTGTAGGCTAGTAATGTACTGACTACCATATTATGCTGCAGTGGCAGGCCTGCTAGCTATCCTCGTTAACCCCCGTTAGAGACCGAGGTACACTAAGCAGCTGGCCCGCTCTCACGCTCAGCTGGTAGTTTTCCACACCCACCTACTACATACACCGTCCTACTTCTTCTCTGATGCTCACAACCACATCATCATATCTTTCTGCGTGTTCTGTGTAGGCTTTGTTACTAACTCCATGCGCCACTTTAGGAGCAGCACTGTTAATTATTGGAACGCAACAGCGAATCGTGCAGAACTATCCCCAGCCGATGCTCCGAAACTTTACAATATTCAATTCGTAAATAAAATATTGAAAAAAAGTTCCTTGCCCGTGATGGAAGATAGTTCAAACAATTCAAACTAATTATGACGAGCAAATCAATTGACATATAAAAGAAAATCTACAACATGTTTACAATACCCAGATTGTCCTGCTTTGCATGAACAAATACAAATCCATTGTTCTGCAGGAGTTCCTCTGGACCCCAACTTCAATTTTACTTCATGTGGGGAAGATTTCATCGCAGAAGTTTGTAGACACAGTGCAAAAATGTGCCTTTTGTTGAAGTCTTCTGCCTCACACAAAATCACATGATTAGCACGGAGAACAGCTTCTCCTTCCACTACTTGTCGGC